TTTGGATGTAAACATACATACATCATCTAAACCACTTATCCTTCTGGGTCGTGGTGGGGTGCTGGAGCCTATCCCAGCTGTCATTGGGCAGAAGGCAGGATACACCCTGGACAGGTCGCCAGTCCACCGCAGGGCAGACAGACAGACATACACATACTCACTCACACCTAGGGGCAATTTAGCATGTCTAATTAACTTAATTGCATGTTTTTTGGACTGTGGGAGGAAACCCACGCAGACACAGGGAGAACATGCAAACCCCACACAGAAACGACCCTGGTCGCCCGGCCGGGAATCGAACCCAGGCCATTCTCACCGTGAGGCAACAGCGCTACCCACTGCGCCACTGCCCATGGATTTAAACAAAAGGGTTAAATTCTTCAAATGCTGAGCGGAAAATTGGCCAGTCAGGAGTTGTTGTTTTTTGGTGGCATCTAGAGAGATATGGCTAAGCAATCTCTCCGATTGGTTAGGACTTCACGGGCTAAATAGGAGTCCTAACAATTTAGATTTACTATCAGCGTAATTATGAAGTGACTGGAATCAACCAATCATGCTTTGATTTCCAATAGGAACCAGTTTTGTTAGAGAAAGTGTCACTCTGGTCCTTCTGGAAGTCCCAGATATGTCAGGGACTGTGAATGCAAGCAAGTCTTATCAGTGGGTTGTTCGAAATGGAAAAGAGTAGCAGCTGCAGTTTCCACTGCAAAACGGCTATAAGGTAAAATAAATGTTAATATGCCTTTAGAGGCTTCAAATAAAACATAGAATGTCTTTTAGCTTTAGATGTCTGTATTTGATCTAGAACTGCCAAAAAGTGTTCATGCAAATTACTGTTAGCTTAGCATTAACAAACTATTTGAATGCCATAAATGCTAACAGAAGTTAGCATTATCATAGAGGTGTGTTTTGAATGAGTTTTGATGTTAGAGGCCCAAACTGAAGGCCTAGCGCTAATAGTCACTGTTAGCCACTTCTTAAAGGGACATTACATTCACTTTTCTAGGGGACGAGTGGGGTTTAGTAGGTTTTTTTTGAAGCCTGGGGTCAAAATGGAATATAGTGTAACTGTGTTTCCCAGCTAAAGGTACTGAAAACCACCCCAGTGACATCTGTACCACTGTAGTGATGCCTGTGAGCGTGTAGTTAAGCGTACATGTGTGGGTGTTTGCCAGTGTGTAAAATATAGCATATGCACTTGTATGTGTCTGTCTCACCTCCTCCTCAGCTCGGACAGAGCAGACCAGCAGCAGGGCCAGCAGACCCACAGTCACCTTATAGACCAACATGACGGCTACTGACCTGGAGGGAGAGCCAGCAGACAGAAACATTAATGTACATCAAATATCAAAGCCAGTCAGTCCAATGATTAAACACGGTGGACTGCATGAAAGTTCAATTACAATAACCAACTGTGATCATTGTGAGACATCAACATCTAAACATCTAATAAATAAATAAATGAATGGCACATGCTAGTAGAGTGGGAGCTCTTACCTCAGACTTCCAAAACGGAAAGAACTGTACAGTGGCAGATGGAGAGAGGGGTTTTATACTCTTTTCTGTGTACCCAACATGATAAGCATGTCACATACATATAGAACAGGAGCTGCAGACTTGTGGAAAAACTTATCTTTGAACATGAACAAAAATAAGTGGTTCTGCTGGAAAATTTGTAACGTATAGCAGTGCTTTATCAAGTTTAAATACATGTAGCCTTGATGTAAAGAACGCAGGTGCAGTTTTCCCCACAAATCAGGGCTGCATACGTCATTTACAGATTAGAGTTGCATTTGACACTTAGAGATAAGTCTCACGTGGACATGCTGTATTTCTTTGTTGTTTTAGCTTTTCATGACTTCTTTGTAGTTTTCTTATTTTCTGCTATTCTTTACTATGTGGATGAAAATCATTGGTTATTTGATTGTTTGATATTATGAGCAGACAAAGGACATTTGATTTAACTTTTTAATTAGAATAAGGAGACTCTTACAAATTATTAAAAAGGATGGACGTTCATAAAAACATTTACAAAATGAGGTGTGATTAAATGTGTTTTCTGAAAGAAATGTAAAATGACAAATCTTCTTTTAGGTCACGACACTTCTTTTATGAAATTTCACAGCAACTAATGGAAATCTGGAAACATTTGGAGATTGTTTTGGGATTGAAAAATGTTTTTTTTTTTTTTTCATTTTTGGTGTTTTCTTAGTGTAGCACATAAAACAATCAATCAAATGACCAATCAATGATTTTCATTGTCTGAGTATGTAGGAGATCATGATTGGTTCAGTGGAGAGACAGGGTGTGGAGGACAAAGCAGACAAAACCAAATGATGTTATGGACAGATTGCCAGGTAAGCATAAGCTTTTCTAAGCAAATATAGTTTTATTATGGATTTAAACACTTATCGAGCTTGTATTCCCAATATACTGACTGGATCTATTCCAGAGTACATAGAAGAAGTGCTTATGTCAATAATACATTTGAAGTGCTCTGTCAATATCTAAACCAGCCAAGAACTTGTCTCTCTAAATTGAGTTTTCAAGTCTGTCAAATGTAATGGTTGATTATATGAAAAGCTGCAGCAGCACTAGAAGAGGCAAGGCAAAGCAAGGCAAGGCAAGGCAACCTTATTTAAATAGCAACTTTCATACACTGTCAATCGAAGTGCTTTACGAATGAGAAAGTACAGTCATTTAAAAAAGTAAAGTAAAGGAGAACAGAAATTAAAAACATGATTCAAACAGATTTAAAAGAGAAAATCATTAAATGAAAAATCTAATTAGAAATTAAATTTGGAGAATTAAAAATCAAATTAAAAATGAAAAGTTAAGTTAGGATAATAAAAGCCTTTACAGAGGAAAAAGGGCTAGAAACGCTAACAGTGTTTTAAACTGCTCTGAAAACCTGCTCAAATAGTAACATTTTAAGCCTGGATTTAAGTGTCTAATGTCAGGGCTCTTCTAATGCTCTCTGTCAACGGGTCCCATTTAAGAGCAGCAGAGTGGCTGAACGCTGCTTCTCCATGTTTAGTCTTTACCTTCGGCAGGACTAACTGACTAGTTCTAATGATCTGAGAGTTCTGTTAGACTCATATCGCTGCAGCGTATGAAATAAATATGCTGTTCCTACACCACTGAGTGATTTATAGACCAGTAATAGTATCTAAAGTCTATTCTGTAATAGACTGGTAGCCGGTGTGAGGATATAAGCTTGGGAGTGATGTGTTTCCTTCTTTTACTCTTAGTAAGACTCTGGCAGCTGCATTTTGAATCAGCTGAAGCTGTTTGATTGTCTTTTTTGGGAGTTCAGTTAGGAGAACATGACAGAAATCAATCCTGCTTGAAATAAAGGCTTGAAACATTTTCTCCAGGTGTGGTTTACATGTCTGCCAAAACTAAGGTCAGAGTACATTTCCAAAGTCTTTGGAAACCACTAAATCACTGACCACTCTAGCCAGTGCTGACTCTGTACTATGATGTTTCCAAAAGTCAGACTGGAATAATTCATACCTGTTAAATGTACATGAAAACGATCAGAGCCGTTGGGCGACATCATCATCTTTCACCATAATCTTAGGTAGAGGAAATGGGCTGTGTTAGAAATGGGCTGATAACTGGATGGATCAAGAAGTGATTTCTTCAGGAATGGCTACATTAAAGGACTTTACAGACATAGACCAGGCTGAGTGATGAATTAATAATATTTAGTAAAGTAGATTTATCTAGAAGAAGAATCTAACAGTAAACTAGAATGTGTTTAATCAAGTTTGTGGTGGATCTAGAGGACAACATTGAACTAGGGATGTCAGTTTTTTTTTTCTTTTTTAAATTGTATAATGAATTTAAAATACAAAGTTTTTAAAGTTTGAACACTAATAAAACATTGAGTATGTAACTAAAACTGTGTGAGAAGTAACTATATGAAGTAACTATAACTGTATTAAGCTATTAGTAAATCACCAAGAGCCTGGAAAGTCATGTCATGGATTCCAGTTAAAAAAAAAATTGCTAAACTGAATTTGTGCAAAATTTCTAAATTTTGCAAATAGTTTTTAGTTAGTAAGTTCACCTTCTTAAATAGTGAGTTCAAATGCTTACAGAGCTGTAGAAAAAAAAATCCAGTTTGAACTGAAAAAAAAACAAACTATTATTTCACAGAATAATAAATCTTGTTTTGTGGTTCACAGGTTCTAACCAAATTTCTTATCAGTGCAAAATGATGGACAAGTGCTGCATATTAGTCCACCAAAAATAAAAACATGTCCTGAACCTTAATTTTATTTGTTACAACTTTGTACTTTATGTACTTGAGTATGATTCATGATGATTGTTTTTAATTTAACTCAAGTATAGTCTATTTTTGGCTTTATAGTCCCACTCTTAACTGAGCAAGATTTCGACATAGTAGCCACACTTTCACTTCAGTACAGATCTCTTTACACTTTCTCTTCAGCAGAGCTAATAAACTACAATTGTATTTCAGTCTACACTTTATGGCACAGTCATTCTATTTCTCTTTCCAAATACCTGAGTTATTTTATAAGGGAAACTAAACATATTACTGCTGTGGTATGAATCAGTGATACATTCAGAGGCGCACAGTCCTTTCCTTTCAGACCAAATAATTTTGTAATGACAGCACCATCACCTGGTCACATACAAGCAGTGCTCAATAATTCCTTGTAATTTCTTTCATGGCCTTAAAAAAAGGTCTTAAAAAAGTATGATATATGGTATTATATACACAAATGTACATATAATATATTTCAGATATCAAACGTAATATGCAGCATACAGAAGATGTCACTGAAACATTTAATTTAATTTTGGGAGATTTCTGTGTGTCTATTCTATACAGTGAAATAAGGGATGCCTTTAAGTTACTTGATTCCACAGTGCACATAATTTCCATGCCACTAAAATGTATGAAATTAAGCCTAAAGCCTGCTGTAGAGTCAGAACTGATGACACAGTAAATCAGCTGACAAAGCTGATTAATATTCACTTTTAAAACATTTTATTTCTTCTGTTAATTACATAGTCATGAAAAGATCTCCATATGTGAGCAGACATAGACACAAATCTTCACTGCTCGTCTGTGGCGTCTCCTTGGTGGACCAACACAGCTCTCTTTCTGAGGATTAAACAAGTTTCAGATGAATCAGAAATAAGAATTTATTACATTCAATACATTCATTGCGGATATGTGGTACAATTTTGACTACATACAGTGTCTTTTGATGGTATATCTGCTACTTACAGCACTTGTAGAGCCTGTTGAGTCTGGTAATGTCATTTTGGCTCATCTGGGTTCCCTGACCGAAAGACACATTGCTGTTGGGGATGGGGACCATGGTGGGCTGACCATTCTTAGAGAAAGCAGTCCTGGAATGAAAAAAAGAGCTTAATCTCTGTGGACCACTAGCTACGCTGCCTTTCAAAGCTAGTGGTTTGTAAGACAATAAGGCTGTGGTCCTGAGAAGCAGAAGAGCTGATGCTACTTTAGTACTTACTTTCTCTGTAATAGGTTATTAGGATGTACTTATACGATGACTTATACAGATGGAATAATATGCCTGATAATGTATATTTTAAACTTGGAATTTGAAAATGTTTACATATTATGTACAGAAAGTGTATTTCTATGCCACTCTAGTTAGAATTAAAAGAATTCATTGAAACATGGCTATAGAAAAAAAGTTTTTTTTTTTTTAATTTTAAGAAGACTGCTATAGAGATTGACTTTTTGTATATGTTTTTAACTTAATAGAACACCTTCATTATAAATCTTTATACACCTGCTAGTAGCACTAACGCTAAGTTTCTATATAAGCCCAATCTGTTCTGAACTTATCACAGTGAACCAGCTGACAAAGGTAATCTGCAGGCCCAAGATGGGGTTGCGTGCAATCCGTAATTCAAATATATGCAGAGTGCACTAGTCCTTCCAGATTGGTTTGTCTGGAGTGTCATAGGAGAAAGACCTAAGATCCTTGCTAAATGGTTCTTGACTTGGATATATGGTTCTAAAAAATTATTTTAATTGGTAGAGAACCCTTACGTTATGTGGAGTTTCTTTCACAAACACACACGTTATCTAAGCTGCTTATCCTTCTGCGTTGCGGGGGGTGCTGGAGTCTATCCCAGCGGTCATTGGGCAGAAGGCAGAAAACATCCTGAACAGGTCGCCAGTTCATCACAGGGCAGACACACATAAACATTCACACTTAAGGGCAACAATTTAGCATCTCCAATTCGCCTGACTGCATGTCTTTGGGCTGTGGGACGAAACCCATGCAGACACGGGGAGAACATATAAACTCAACACAGAAAGGAACCTGGTCACCAGACAGGGAATCAAACCCAGGCCCTTCTTACTGTGCTGCCCCATGTTTCTTTCAACCCAAAAATTAATGGCATTTCTTAAAAACGAACAGAATTTGTGCTTTCTTAAAGAATGTTTTTAAAAGAGTGATTAACTAAAAAAATCAAATTTACACAATTTCTTCCTTATCTCAAAAGTAGATGATCAGCCAAGACATGTTTGGTGTCTGAAGTTTGCTTCTTTAACTGTGCACTGGAGCTGTAAGTCTAATGTAACTAAAAAGTAATGGAAGTCTATATCACCCAAAATCTTTTACACTAATAACATTAATCTCGTATCTTCAGTACAACACTAAAAAGGCAAACACGTCTAGGTTGATCAGTTACGAAGTAAGAAGATAATTGTCTAAATTTTATTGTTCTTCTAATGCTAATGCTAATGCTAATATAGACTAATACAGTCTTAAAAACTGCAGTTAATGTGTTTTTTACGGTGATGTGTGGGTTTGGAGTAGTCTTTGTACGTCTCTGGTTGATCTGCTGGAGGTAAATGATCAAAATAAAATCAAGGTTAGGTATTGTAAGATGAAGTTTGGATTTGTGTGTGTTTCACCTGTGGTACTGCATGACAGAGTTGTAGTCGTAGGGAGTTCCCTGGTTTAGAGTGTTGATCTTGTCAAAGGCGTACTTATAGCCTGATGAACAAAGTAAACCAAATCACAGCATTAATGGTGGCCTCACGCAGTATTGACAAATGCTTAATGGTCAAGATCATTTTACGGAACTAGATTTGCCACCTTAAATCTCTAAGCTTCAACAATGGCATAAGTATTAAAACATAGGCTTACTGTCAATGATGTTCTCCCACACAACACGGATGTGGTTGTCACGGTCACTACGGCACTGTTCATGGTTGAATCCCAGAGCATGGAGCAGCTCGTGCTGCACGGTGTTGTGGTAAATGCAGCCATTGCGGTCCAGAGACACAGTCTGGGCGTAACCACGGCGTCCGACATAAGAGTAGCATCTGTGAGTAAGAATTTACAATTTTTGTCATTATTCCCTTTAAGATGTTGGTGTAACATAGTGGATACCTCTACACAATAGATTGGGAATTGATTCTCTGTCCAGACAAGCACACTACTCTACACCAGAAAGAGTCCTTGAGACTGCCAACTCTACATACACCCACAGTGCTGTGTAAAGGTCTGAGACCATCCTTTGTTTATTTAATTTTCAATCAAAACAGCCATTAAGTACGAGTTCATTTCAGAAGATATTTTGGGGGATTAGACATAAGCATAATGCATTTGCACAAGGAAACACTAAAGAGAAAAGTGAAAAACAGGTGTTTCCAAAACCGGAGTTCAAAAATTGAGTTAAAGATAGGGAAATGTGAGAAAATGAGACTCCTAACAACAGTGCAAGACTGGGTAGATCACATCTGCAAGTCAAACAAAGAAGAGATCATTTGCAAGTCAAACACAGAAGCTGCTGGTGTTCTGAGAACAATGTACTGACCACCCCAGAGTCCAGACCTCAACATTATTAAATGTTTTTGGTATTATTTGGATTGTAAAAAGCAGAAAACTTCTAACACTGAACTTTAGAAAAAATAATAAGAAAAATATTTTGAAAGAAATTTAAATAAAATAAGGGTGGTCTCTGACAGTATTGCGCCATGATAATCATGTATCTGTAACATGGTTAAATGGTAAGTCATGCTGGACAGGAGCGTCCACCAAAGCATAAATGCAAATATAGCTTAGATTACACATTTAAAAGTAGTGCTCCTGCCTCTATTTTGCTGAAGTATGGGAGCGATATTAACCCTTTTAAATTCATATCGTTCTGTTACTGCAAAGACCATCAGCTAATTGTCCAAAACATGGCTTTAAATTCTGTCTACATGATCACTGTTTTTTATGGAATCTAAAACTCCAGTTATCTGCATCCTGAAGAGGATACAATAGAATTTTCCATAAATATAACTGATCATAAACAAGACACATTTACCGTAAAAATAACAGGGTGTAGTTGAACAAAAAAAAAATCTGAATACTGGTATCTGAATAGTTCTATCCTATACTGTGGTCCAGGTCATTATCTTGGCTTTTTCATTCGATTCTAGCTTTAGCCTGGTGCCTATTTTCCGGATGCTTGCTCATGCTTTCTTCTTCTAACATTTTCATTTTCATCCTGATTTAGATGTCTAATGGTTTTGGTTCTAATTCTATGTCTTACCCGCTGCGGGACTCAATGCTGATGTAGTCTCTCTGGTTGGAGCGTGGTGTGAAGCGGATGCAGGAAACAGAGGAGAAGGAGTCTAGACCACGCTGAATGACCTGCAGCTCACGGGAGGCTGAAAGAGAAAAGGGCAGAGCTCAGTAAGGTCTGGCCAGCCATACTAAATCACTTTGTTGCAATTCCAAACTAGTGCAGAACCTTGAACAGACATTACACCCAGTAGTGCAGTTAGAATGCTGATGAACTTTCAATATTAATATCTATTTGTTTACAGATGAGTTATCTTTACTTTATCATTTGTTTTGTTCAGTAAATTTGAGTTCACCAAAGAAGCAATGTTTTCCGTTCGTAGCACCAACTGAAATAAATTGAAATTGTCCTGGAAAATGCAAGTGTACTTTAGAGTTAAGAGAGTAATAACCATACATTACCAAGTTACATCATTTACAATGCTGAATGTGATTAAAAGGGGTACAGTAGTGGTGACATACTGAAGTGGTTGGCAATGACGTATGGGATGTAGACCAGTCCGTTGCTGGACTTGGGCCACATGCATCCTTGGGAGGTGCAGGGATCAGCGTTCCTCACATCGTTTTCATCATCAACAGCAATGTCTCCAACAACCTTTGGCTCATCAGGACCTCGAACTGTCACAAACAACAGAAAGATTGCACAGCCAACATTTACATCACCGTCAACTTGGTCTTGCGGTTACAACACACCATCCGAGCCAAAATGTTGTGCTTTTACGTCAAAAATAAAACATATATAATCTAATATATACGCACATAGAGGGATTCATACACTCGATTTTTACATCTCAACTGAAAACCTAACAGTTTACACTAACTTTTGGTTAATGATATCACTCAGCGTGTATTGTATTTGTAATATTTATTGATCTGTTGATCATTATCTGCTCACAAGACTTCATCTATATTCTCTAATGTTTACCTTCTTATCTCTGTTTCTCTCTGTTATCCCAGCCTGTATTGCCAGCACAGTAGGAGACTATTTAGTAGGAAGTAATTGCAGAATCTCCATTTCAGTTATTAGCATGAACCTACCTTAATCCAACCCTTGTAAAGCTGCTTTATGACAACCTCGATTGTGAAAAGCACAAAACACAATAAAATTAATTGAATTGAATCTTGCTGATAATGAGAATATGACTATGATGGACTAGAATCACATAGAGAACATGTAAAAGATTTTCCATGGCATGAAAACTCTCAAGCCTGGAAAAAAGGCATTCCACACTATGAACAAAACATGTTTTTCTATTGCAGCAGCAAAATGTGGTGTCAGTGCCGCAGTAAAGGCATTTTAAATATTTTTTAGACCTGTTTATGGGTCATGGACGACAATCCTAAATTGCGCTGTGGTTGCATCATAATGCAGAGTTAATTTAATATTCCATTCATATAACGTCAAAATAAAACTGTCTTGCATTGCAACACTGCTGGATTGGCCTGTAGGGAATATTTACTGGAAGAGGTTGAAGCTCTTGGCTCCCAATGGCAATGATGTGCTTGGCTCCATGTCAAAACTTTGTAAGGATGAAAGACCTGTGGGGTTTACCATCTTGCCACCATATGAAAAAATGGATTAAAATGATCTGTTCATTATTTAGCTTATTTAGCTTAGAAGCAGTGCCATATTAGGAAAGCTCTTGAGCTAGGGATCAAGTGACTTGCTCAAAGGCCTACTGGCAGCTACTCTCCTGAAAATAAAAAAGCCAAAAAGGTTTTTTTGGAGCAATGCAATCTAAGAAGCTAAAAGAAGTAAATGTTCATCAGTAATTTGGACAGCCAATCACTGGTCTAGATTTTGGAACAAGCACTACTTTCTATTGCATAAAGTAGGGCTTCTTTCCCAGTGGTCATTGATCCAGTACCAACAGGACCTAATAATTTAGCAAATTCCTTACTATTCCAGGTGAAGATAAAGTCACCAAGCACTTCTACATGGCCCATACGTGCACCAAACTGTGAACTTGCTTGTGTGCGCTTGTGTGTGAAGTCATACCGATGCCTCTGTTAGCTCTCTCCAACAGCTCGCCAACAGACAATTCAGCAGAATTCTCCTCAGCCACTGTCACATAAAACAAATCAGCACACGTAATCAATCATAGATATTTGTCATGTAAGATGTGTGTTTTCATTGGAGAAATAATATAAGCTTACATAAATGTATTCAGTGGTGAACGCTCAGGGCCTTTTAGGCCTTCAGAGATGGCCTAATGATCTCTGGAATCTAAAAACTGTATTACAGTAGTACAGTACTACTTGTTTCATTAAAGATCTGGAGTAATTGACGCAACAGTAATAGATGTGTGAAGTGCCGAGTGTAAAATTGGCCAATCAGGAACTGTTTTTCTTGATGGTGACTAGGAAAATACAGCTGAGCGAGCTCTCCTATTGGTTATGACCTCTAGAACTAAAGAGAAGTCCTAACATGTTAGTCTAACCATCAGCATAATTACAAAGTGACAGATGAATCAATTGATCACGTTTTGAAAATGTTGGTCTAGTCCTTCTGGAAGTCCCTGATACGTCACTGACTGAATATGAACGGCTGCCAATCAGTGGCTGAGTCACTGTGAAACTGCTACGAGGTAAACTTTATGCTAATATGTGTGTCACAAGCTTTAAGTCAAACATGGGATGTCTTTTAGAGGCTTCAAATGTCTGTGTTTCTAATCTACAATTGCTTTTTTCTTAGTTTCTGTCCTATATTCAACAATGCTGCCGTTACATTTATGTGCTAACGAATTATCTGTTCCACTTTAAATGCTGTAGTAGTTACATTCTGGTGATCTGAGGTGCCTGAATGTAACTGCTGCACTGTTTAAGGTGGCACCTAAAATTCAAATAAGCTAAACTTCAGCCTCGTCAGAAATGACCGCTCAGACTGAAGGTGTAGGTCTATGTCACGGTTCACCACTGTATGTATTTATTTACACATTTTTTAATTAAAAGTGACTTACCAGGCTAGATGTGATGTCGTAAATGGCAGAGATCAAGAAGAGAAAAAAAAACAAGCAAAAACACAAACTATAGGTCAAGGCATATTTGGAATATTTGAATATACACTAGTTCCAACCACACAGTCTGACTGGTTGAGAATCCATATGGGCTGTTATTGCCATACAATTAGTATCATTCCAGTAAGCACCATTTGTTAAGCAACCACTCATTTTAACCTGCAGCTCACTGTTATCAGGCTTGGATACTGCATTAAGTTTCAGACCTGGCATTGTCCCCAAGCAAGCTGTTCTCTCAGCAGCTGTTATGAATAACTAAACAAACTTGGACTAGTGCGAAATAAACACACTTTGGCTGTGAGATGCTTTACACACTGACTGAAACAAAATGACATTCAGGCTAGTTTTTGGTGGGGAAAAAATTGCCAGTATTAAAGCACATTTGACACAATCTTAGCTGCTTCTTTGCTTGTTTTTTTCTGTATTTTGCAGAACTGTTGTATAAAAGCTGTGGTTAGACCTTCTAACATCAGATTTTCAACAGTAAATTAAATATCTTTTCTGTGAATGTTCCAAAAAATTGTAACAAAAACCTTTTTCTCTGTATTCTTTGTATGATAGGGTTGGACATGCTATGCTTGAATAAGCTGTCTACATTTGATCTGTCCATGAGACATTCCTTTCCTAAGCTTAATGTGACTGGAATACCGCACTGCTCAGTTTATTTATGTGTGTGTGTGTGTGTATGTACCTCCTCCTCAGCTCTGACACAGCAAACCAGCAGCAGGGCCAGCAGACCCACAGCCACCCTATTGATGGACATGATGGCCAATGACCTGTAGAGGGAGCCAGCAAACAGCGCATTTCTTTTCAATTACAAAATTCCTATAAATTTTTATCCTATTAGGATTAAAGTTGCTCTGTTACCTTATATTTAAAATCTAATAACACTGAGTTAACCTTACTTGCTGCAGGAGTGTGAATCACTGAATATTTGAAAGTAACTATAACTGATATATAAAGCTATAGTTTAAGTTTGACCCTGTTCAGTAACTTCAGTAACAGCTGGAGTGCACGCTGTCATTACAGCAAAACTGGGACACACCACATACCTGGGAAATTCTAAAATTCATGTAAATATTTCAAAGGTGCTATATTTCACTTAAGTGTGTGTGTGAATGTATGTGTCTGTCTGTCCGCCCTGCAATGGACTGGTGACCTGTCCAGGGTGTATCCTGCCTTCCACCCAATGACTGCTGGGATAGGGTCCAGCTCCCCCCCATGACCCAAAAGGATAAGCAGCTCAGAAAATGTGTGTGTGTGTGTATTTCACTCAAATTGTTATGCTGGTCAGATTATTTATAATGACACACTTCAAAGTAGAAGCATTTTCGCTAGTGGTCTCAGACATGACCACACTGTATGTAAGACACATTCTCTTCAAAATTAATTCTTTGCCATTCTAGAAACTAGCTGATTGATAATTTACCCGAATGAGGTGATCACATGCTGCTATGCTTAACAGAAATTATATAAATATATAAATAACAGTATAAAACTTTAATAAGTATGAAACTTAAATAATAAACACACATTTTTTTGTACATTTGTTACATGTAATTTAGGATATACATTTAAAAAGACTCTTTTTTTACAGCTCGAATATACAGGTGTTCATTATCTTTGCTACCCTGGAGGTCATCTCAGCCACCTTTGAATTTCTTTTTCACATATAAAATCACTCCTCATTCAAAGATTTATGATTTACTTCATTGTGTCTGATTTACAAATATGTTAAAGCCTTAGCAAAGAGCTAAAACACACAGCAAGTCTGTGCAATGCATATACAGTCTTACCTCAAGGTTCTGAGAAGAAACCAGCACTGTTCTTGAGACAGAAGGGGGTTTTATACCCTGTCGCCCCAATATGATAAGATCCCCACCACTTTAGACTACAGAACATGCTGATTCCTGAAGAAACCTTATCTTTTAACATGACTCACAAACTATGAAATATGGTAACATACAGAGGTGGTTTATCAAGTTTAAATATGTACAGTTGTACTGGAACAACGCAGGTGCTGTTTTCTCACTGTCTTGTGTGGTGGTTTCTTATGAACCAAGGTTACAACTATCAGTGAAAGATGTGGCTCATATACCCTGATTCCTCACTAATCAGCTGAGCGGACTGTATTTACTTTGCCACTTTGTGACCACAGCATTTTTAGTAAAAATAAAGCTTTTAACTTCCTAAAATCCCAGGCTTAATACATACTAAGGCTTTTTATTCAGTAACTACAGGGACTTCAATGCAAACTGGCTTTGGGCCCGCTGGTGGGCCCTGCCTATTAAAGGGGATAAAGGTCATCAGGGCTGAGCTACTCAGAATCATTCTGATATCAGTGATGATCTGTAGGGGTTGTCCAGATGTTTATCTGTCAGAAGAGCCATTCGACAAAGAAGCCCTGGACTTCCAGTGAAGGTGAAGGCTGTGATAGCCAATTTAGCATTTCTTTTCAAGGTATCCCTCTCATCCCTCAATATAAATGTTCAATGTGTTAAGAAGAGTAGGCTAACAGCTTATTTCTGTTTACATGGGCTAACAGACACCCTTGACTGCTGAGAAAGGAACTAAGCCATGCATTATAGCCAATAAGGGCATGGCCCAGCCTCATGTACAGATATTTTAGGGGGTGCACAAGGGACAAAAAGAGAATGAATGTGACTTTAATATATTTTCATTGATTTACAGCATATTGCAGCCACTGTTCTTAAGAGAGTTCATGTAATCATGTTTCAGAGGAAACAGCTAAAAAACCTTTACTGCCCAGTCTGGAATGTAATACCTAATTTCCATCATAAAAGGCTGTAACATTACCCACTCTGCAATCTAATGACTATGAACCAATGATTTAGAACTCTATTTAAGAGCTCCACAGAGCCTGACATCACCCCCTGTTTTTTACAACAACAGAAACTTGGTTTAAGAAGTTATGATTATTTTAACAAGTTATTAGCACTAGTTGGTTATGGTACAAAATATGTTCAAAATAAACACTTTGTTAGAGAGATTATCAGTGGTGACATATACAGCACTGTGGTGATGCATGCAACCGTAACAACTTAGAGTTACTGAAGGAAAATCTCCACAGGTGGCCAGTACTGCACCAGAGGGGGTGCCCAAGAGCGTGAAGCTTGTGGAACCCGAGCCGGCCCATAAGGTCTATATCAGAGAACTGTAGAGAGGAGATTTGCCACACAATAATGTCTTCTAGGTTTATCAAACACTGACAGACGAGTCCAAATGAACGGGTTCCATTGGAGATTTTGTGGAAAATTCTAGTTTGTAAAAGCTTAATCATTTCTCATATGGAAAAGTGTGCTCATTTCTGAACGTAGAACATCATACTTCAATACTGCTGTTACATTTTCGATGATTTTAAACTCCAGTTATACGATTTTCTAACACTTCGTCATGTACCATCATGATATCAGTGAGCGTGAACCACTTCACTCAGCCAATGAGCTTCTCAGCTTGCCAACCAATCAGCACTCAGTGGCATGGAATACATCCTTTCTGAAATTAAAGGAAGGTACCATACAGATGGTTAGAAACAAGTTCAATTTTCTGTCTTGAGCTGTTTAGCCCCCTTCACCGCCCCTATTCATTGAGGACTTGCTCTAGAGGTTTGCAATCATGTTGTTATTATAGGCCAGGCTCCCTTGATCTGGCTCTGGTGCCATGCTGAACTACGCTGAAATGGATCTTTAAGATTTCCCATATAAAACACAATTACTATATCATCGCTGAAAAACATGTATCTTCTTTTTTTTCGATTTTTACATTTCTTCATCATTTGAACACAACAGCTGTCCTTTACTTTGTGTGAAAATTTCATGATGAATGGACCATCAGAAATGCTCCAGTATTCCTTGAAGTAAAATCTCTGTACATTAACTAACATTGAAAGTGAAGAATGTTTGTGCCCTCTCTTGTGAAGTTACTGTTTTTGGAGATACTTGTTTTAATTTGGACAGCGACAATATATTAAGTAAGCCCAACTTAATCTGTATTGTTGACCCAAGCAAGATACAGTACTGAAAATGTAATATAAAGATCAAGGATTATACTCTGATGCAACTTTAATCACCCTCTTAACCCCTTAGAATTCCAGGCTTATTACATGCTAAGGCTTATTATTCAGTACCTACAGGGATTTCAGTGCACACTGGCTAAACTATTCTTAGGTTATAAAAGTGTATAATGAAACTGGCCATTTAAAGTGTATAATGAAACTGAAATTCCTCCTAACCATAAAAGTATACTCACTTTTTGAATTCCTTTCATTTTTTTATTTTCTTGCTGTGGTTTGCTGCTGTATGATGTGCTGTGGAAAAATTGCTTTGAAATTGATTCTGGAAGCTTAAAAAGTCTGTGCTCTGTTTACTGTTCATGGTAAACTACTGCTTATATCAGATTAGACAGGTGCTCTAAATTTCTGCTACATTTAAATGTGCATGCTGCCCTCATCGATGAACAGAAAGTGCCAACACTCAGGTTAAATGAGATACTTGTCGTTTGTGCAACACCAGCACACTGAGCAGGGAAAAGCTGCACCTGCTGTCCTCCAAAGCAAGGTTACCCCTATTTAAACATAAACCTGATAAAATATCTTGATTCACCTATTTCAGTGGAATGCTATTAGAAATTTATGTTTTCCCATTTGTTTAAGAAAAAAATCCTCAGCTTCTGTTATCACATTTGATACACAGAGTAGGATATAAAAACCCTCTCTGCTGAAAAACAGATGCTTGATTCATCTTGCAGGTTTGAGGTAAGGAAGAGCTTGTTTCCTGTCATTCTTCTAACATCTTAAATCCCCTGTCTCATTACATCCAGAGGCTCATTATTGAGTAAATACATGGGAAATTACAGTGCAAAATGGCCGAGCTATTCTTAAAGAGCCTACCATTATCTTGAATGTAGTTATTTTTTACTTAAAGTCTACTTACAACATCTATGTGGTTTTATTTACCAAAAGCAGGACTGAAACACTGCAACAGTGCCATTTTTTATGACATCACAAAAACAATTAATTCAAAACGGGCTGGGTGTGCAGCTTAGTTTCCATATATGGACAGTATGAGCCAGAGTGTGAACATATAACATAATCAACTCACATAAAGAAAGGAACAGTCATAAAAAATGATTACAAATGAAAGGATATTGAGAAAATGGGACTCCTAACAACTGTGCAAGACCTGGTAGACCACCAACACTGTCACCATCAGATAAACAGTAAGTATAGCTCCATTCTTGCTTCATATCTGAAACAATTCACAGGTATTTCTGTCCATTCTTCTAATGTGAGAAGAAACTCAACACTATGAGCTGTCAAGAAGCCCTTAATGAGGAAAGGACAAAAAATACTTTTCAAACAAAAAAACTTTTATTCTGGTTTTTTCAGAATGATGAACTGGCCACCCCAGACCTCAGTATCATTGAATGTGTTTGAGATCATTTGGATAACGAGAAACAGAAAATGCAACCAACTAAGACTGAACTTTGGAGGTGTAGAAAAATATCCCTATAGATTTCTTTAAAAGACTGTAAGCAAGTGTCCAAAAAAATGGATTGGAAGTCATAAGGCAAAGGCAAAGGGTGCACACTACTGTCGTTTGTGTTCACATGGATCTCATGTAATCCTGTAAGTTCATTCCTTAAGCATCCAGGCTTCCATTCCTTACTTCTGTAACTTTAAAAATATCTCAGCCAGTTTGTATTGCTTTCCATGTAAATGCATAATGAATATGTGAATAATACATGAATAATAAGCATTAGAATGTAATAAGCCTGTGAATGTCACTCATGAATACTATTTTAGCTAACACTGAACTACTGAGAAATGCAGACCTTTATATGTTTGATTTGTGTCTGATGTGGACGACATATTACATTATGTGCCAAACAGTCATGACTCCATAGTAAAAACAGTAGCCTAACACAGTAAGCTAATGGTTCCTGAACCCATCTGGCAGACTGGTGGCGATGATGTATAAGGCTCTGGGTTTGGTGGCCCTTTTGCTGGCCTGCTCTGTCCGAGCAGAGGAGGTAAGTCACAAAGAGACACACACCCACACGTTTTCAATGTACACAATAATACAGTCATGTTACTCTTAAATAACTTGAATCTTATATCTCTGTTTGTATCGTCTGTTATTTGTGTTTACACGGTTCTTGTGTAGCCCCGTAAGTTGATACTCTTCAGATTGTAATATACTGTATATAGAATACTCTAATATACTTTGTTGGATGGTGTACTAAGTATTTTATCAATCAATTCTCTGTTAGTGCTGTCTGTGGGGGAGCTGCTGGAGAGAGCTAACAGAAACGTTGGTATGGACATTTTGGGCGTACATGAACCCACTGTTCCTTAAACCAGTAAAACTTGCTCACAGTGTAAGCTAATTTAAATGTAATCAAACAAACCTTTCTGTTGTGTTTGTCAGTTCGTGGTCCTGATGAGCCGAGAGTCATAGGAGACATTGCTGTGGACGACACCGGAAGGAACGCTGATCCCTGCACCTCTCAAGGCTGCAAGTGGCCCAAGTCCAGTGACGGATGGGTCTATGTGCCATACTTTATTGCCAACCATTTCTGTATGTCAGCAATAATTGAATCTTAAACACTCCTACACTATAAAACTGCTCACTGACTCAAAGTATTAGTAAATACTTTAAAAAACTTCGTTGGACAAATTTAAAAAAATTCGTTGGACAACCTGAGCTGTGTTAGTGACGGTATTATGTGAAATTCTATTCTAGTTCACTCTGTGCTAATTGCATGTTAATTTGTCAGTGGTTTTATCTGGTGATTGCATGTCAGATAATAATATTTTTATATAATTCACAGATTACTATTAAGGAACTATTTCTTTGTTGATGCATAGCCCATAGCTGTCAAGTGAAAACTTTGTTCAGGTCAACTAGAATTTTTTTTTTAATCAATTATCTCAGCTTAGTTTAACCCTTACCACAATTCAGGCTGGGGGCACCGTGTTATTGGGGAGTCGTAACCATGTGTGGGAATTGGATTAACTAAATTGTAAGGAGGAAGTGAATTAAAATCACTTAGCTGTTTATGAATGAACGAATCTGTACCATCTTTTGAAAAGGCAATTTCAGCATATAGTTATATACAGTTATATATGCTCCCAACCGAAAAATGAATCCTACCTCAGTCTAAGAGTAAAGCCAAAAACACTGAAATTTCAGCTGTAAAAGGAGACCCTGCTGAGATGACTTGACTAAGGTGTTGAATTTAGTTTAGGAAAAACATAATTAAGAGTTCATTTTGCTTGTTTGCTGCTTTGCACTGAGAGCTGATCTTAACAAATGGCCTTCTACTGACTGGACTGGACATTATTCGAGCTTCTATGTTCTGTCTTGCTTCAGAAAACGATTAAACTTTGACATTTGGCCGATCTTTACTGACCTCTGCCCTTTCCCCCTTCAGCCTCCCGTGAGCTGCAGGTCATTCAGCGTGGTCTAGACTCCTTCTCCACCGTCTCCTGCATCCGCTTCATACCACGCACTAATCAGAGGGATTACATTTACATTCAGTCTCTCAGCGGGTAGGCACGAAACCAGATAGTTCTGGTTCTAAAATCTGAGTGGCTGACCCATGTTTAAATTGTATTCATTTATTAATTTACCGTTTTTGTATTTGCTAAAGTAAAAACTTTAGTGACGGTTAGCTGTAGTGAAAAGCGAGTCATTACTAAGCAACTAGTGCATAATAAAGTGATAATTGAGGGAAAACTGTGCATGGAGAGAACACTTCTCAACCAAGCAGACTGTGCTGGAGTGAACTGCTCCAAATATACTGCACACATCAGTTGCATTAACCCCTTAAAATCCCAGTCTTATTACATACTAAGACTCATTATTCAGGAACTACAGGCACATCAGTGCAAACTGGCAGAGCTTTTCCTAAGTTACAGAAGTATGTAATAAAACTTTACACCTGCCAGTGGGCCCTGGCCATTTAAGGGGTTAATTATAGTTTTCACAATGATTTGGTTATTTAATATGCATAACTCAAAGACTATAAACCTTAAAATATAAACCATTTGTCTATGTCCTTTTTAATGATCAAGTAAGTATATTACTCTTTTGCTACTTTGAGATGTATAAACTTTTCCGTAATGATTACTTCACAATTATTCATTGTTAAACTTTTCAAATTATGAATAATCAGTAATTGTCTCCTATTATAAGTTGGTGACTTTGTAATGTGTTTATGAACATATATTGTGTTCCTTATTACACATACCAATAATTTGTTTCTAATAATCACTATTAGATAAAGGTGAAGTTGCTCTTTATAGGGGCCTGTTATTATAAAGTCTTATCAATTTTGCTAGTAATTAACTTGTTTGTTTATTTAATGAAGAGTGGTGTATTTAATTAGATTGTATGGCTGTTTATTTGTTAAAACAACCACTCAAGGCCTTTATTTACAGTGAGTTTTCTACAGAAAGGGTAACCGTGGTTTAAACATGTATCAAGACTTACAATTAATTTAATTTCATTTAAACTGGTATTACAATCTGAATATGTATCAGGATTAAAATCATAAAATAGGTCTGAATTAAATTTAAATTAGATTCAGCTCTCTTTGCTTGGCAGATGCTACTCTTACGTCGGACGCCTTGGTTATGGCCAGACTGTGTCTCTGGACCGCAATGGCTGCATCTACCACAACACTGTCCAGCACGAGCTGCTCCATGCTCTGGGATTCAACCATGAACAGACCCGCAGTGACCGTGACAACCACATCCGCGTAGTCTGGGAGAACATTATTGAAAGTACAGTATCAATTTTTAATTATCAGATTTAGATTTTGCAGGTTTAAGATCAATTTGGTAGATGTAATATTTTGGGTATTTTGGTTGTTTTTCCAACAGACATGAAACACAACTTCAACAAGATCAACACTCTGAACCAGGGAACTCCCTATGACTACAACTCTGTGATGCAGTACCACAGGTCAGTCATTTACAAAACAATTCCACTCAAATATGTGAAGTACCTTATATGTCCGCAAGTGACTTTCAACAGACCATGACAGCACAACTGGCTACTCTGGCAGTTGGTTATGTTGGATGGGAGGCATGCTTTAGCTGATATTTCTATTCAGACTGACAGATCAGGCATAATATACAGATCTGAGCAGTTAGTACTGTTCTAATTGCATTCAGCTGTTTTATTGTATTTAGTGGCAGCTCAGTAAGATATGGAGAGAAGGATGGTAATTACTGTCTGATAGAGAATAAACTAGCTACAGCAAACACTGGGGAAATACAGAGAGGACATGTTTTAAATCAGAAATGACCCAGCTACAAAAAGCCCAGGCAACCCTTACTGGGTAGCACCAGTGGCTTTAAAGCTTTAACTGCATAGAATTACTCTAACCGGACATGTTTGGTTCATTCTGTTGTTAGGCCTTATGATACAAGCTGCTTTCCCACACCTCTCAAATACAATATGAATTCACAACTGCCAAACACCTCTCTGCAGTATTTTACAAGACTACTACTATTGATTCTACTGAAGCTGCAAATGAAAATCCTATTTCAGTCCTAATATTTTATGATATAAAACATATAGTCCAGATATAGTCCTGAGTCAGAGACCATCATTTACTTAATTTACAGTTAAAACAGCCATTAAGTATTCAATGTTCATATAACAGAAGATTATAAGCATCAACAACTAAACATAGGCTATATTTTATCACTACTCAGTGTCTTCACACTTTCTCTTTGTTTCTTCCACTCTTTTTGAGAGACCTGTTTTCAGTTTTTCATAGAAATAGATAGTTGTTCACATGGTCAAAATAATCTCAAACACATTCAGTGATGTTGAGCTCTGGGAGCTTGTGAGGAGCCTGATTTTTTCCTCTCTCTCTCAAAGATGAAAGCTTTAAATACTGTTTATCCAATGAGGACTGTTTTGGAAACTTATTTTCCTTTGACACTGAATGCCAGTGGACCTAATTTTCACATATTTTGGTAAGCACCTAAAGAGCTTTTTCAGAATTCCAGTTTTCTAGTTCCAGTCAATAATACCCAAATGAGGCTGGAATGATCAAAACTGGGCATCCTCTTCTGTAACCATTCTTTTTTCATGTTTAGAAAACTACTAAAACCAATAACATGCATGTTTATGCAATGATGAACATGGACTGGTTTGCTGGTCACCGAAAAGCCTTATCTTGGACTATGTTGCATTACCAATGGTGATTTATCCAGTCTAGGCTTAAACATAATGTAGATCTGTGAAACTAGCTCTATATGTTAAGCGACTTACGTTCATTCATTCATTTATTCATTCATTCATTCATTCATTTATTTTGGTCACTCCAGAACTGCTTTCTCTAAGAATGGTCTGCCCACCATGGTCCCCATCCCCAACAGCAATGTGGCCATTGGTCAGGCAACTCAGATGAGCAACAATGACATCATCAGACTGTACAGACTCTACCAGTGCTGTAAGTACACATAGAACACTTATACAGATTCTCATTAGAGCAGCTGTACTCACTGACAGCACGATAATGAAAATAAATTAATATTTGTTCAATATCTATAGTAAGATGTTTAACCGTATGTCAACACTGTTGAAATGTTTATGCTTTATGAATTATTTCTATTAATTAGTCTATTTTAATGCCTTTAGGAACTGAGGAAATCCCTCTATCCACCAAACTGACACACCAGGAGAAGACTAAACATCTATCACTGCATATGACTAATCCACCAATGAGGTTATTTGCCTCAGTGTCTGCTGATGATGTACTTGATGGTCTGTTGATGACATAATTATGAAAACAAATTCCTCAAATAAATCTGCGCTCAACATTATCAACCTTTGTCGTTCTAAAACCTTTGTCTTTCTGACACATGCATATAAACACAGATATATATATTTGTAGATATCTAAATATCTATTTTTTTGTTACAAAGAAATATCTGCTAAGCACTTTAGCGCATAATTTTTTTTCCAAATGATGCCATTTTTTAATCACACTCATCAAAATGAGAGCACTGATCTTGCAATATCACTTTTTCACCATAGTGTGCAACTGTAAAGTGCAGTATCATACATTGCAATACAGGGAAACCACAACAGAGGTGATTTGACTGTGTGATGAGAGATAAGAGATATGAAAACATACCATTGAGAACCATTAGGATTAAAACCTGGTGGTTTTGCTTTTTAATGGGAATTAGCTTGTATGGTTATCATTAGAGACCATAATTTCCTGCAGGACCCCTTTAGACGCCAATAGGAAACAATCAAATGCATCTGGAATCAGAGTTTCAGAACACCTTTTTAAACTATTAGAATCCTTTATACTGTCATATCAAACCATCAGGAACACACAAAATACCATTAGTGACTACTAGACACCATCAGAAACCAACAGAAACCTTTAATGGTTTCTATGATTTTTTAAGCAGGGATGACTATCCTATACTTATTATATCCTGTAAATTAAAGCCTTTACCCATAATTTAACGTCTTATTGAGCGATAATAACACTCAAAAATCCAAATAATGGTGTGATGTAGTATATTCATTCACGTGGACATTATGTAAACATTTAAAAGTAAATTCAGTATCACTAATATTTGGTCACATTTGCAATTCCAAACTCACAAATAACAGATTCTAATTTATTTTTACTCAATTGCAAAACACTATGGATAGTTTTAAAGTGAGTTTAAAACTTAGTTTAAATTAGTAGGTATAACGTCAAAGAATTATCCTGCAGCTGAACATCTCTACCTATTCCAACAGCAGTTTTTAAAAGAAGTATGTGATAGCCTTAGTCTAAGTTTGTACACATTGTAAAATGTTTTTTGAAAGCAGGCAATTTTAAGACACACATAAAACAACAGTTGCAAGACTTTTATTATCTTGAGTAAAAAACTTACATATAGTCTTCACACAGCTCAGTGATTTCTCAAATGAAGGTCAAATTATAGCACTGTTTGATATAATTTGGAAACAGGTACCGATGCAGGTGATACACTTTATGGACAAAAGTACTGGGACACCCACACGTTACACCGACATGAACTTTTATGACATCCCATTCTAAATTCATAGTTGGTCCACCTTTTGCAGCAATAAAAGCTTCCATTCTTCTGTGAAGCTTTCTACAAGATTGTGCAGTGTGTCTGTGGGAATTATTGTCTATTACTCCAGAAGAGCAGTTGTGAGGTCTGACACTGATGTGAGACGAGAGGGCCTGGCTCACAATCTTTGTTCTTGTTCATCCCAAAGGTGTTCGATGGGGTTGAGGTCAGGGCTCTGTGAGGGCCAGTTGAGTTCTTCCACACCAAATTCACCCAGCCATGCCTCGCTTTGTGCACTGGGGCTTAGTCATGCAGGAAAGGAAAGGGCCTTTCCCAAACTGTTCACACAAAGGTGGAAGCATACAATTGTCCAAAATGTCTTGGCCAGCTGAAATATTAAGATTTCTCTTCACTGGAACTAAGGGGTCTAGACCAACCCCTGATAAACAACCCTATAGCATTATCCCTCCTCTACCAAACTTTATAGTTGGTACAACGCAGACAGGCAGGTAACGTTCTCCTGGCATTTGGCAAACCCAGACTCGTCCATCAGACTGCCAGACAGAGAAGCATGATTCGTCACTCCACAGAACATGTTTCCACTGCTGCAGAGTTCAGTGGCATCATGCTCTACACCACACCCCTCAATGCTTGCCATTGTGCATTTTGATCTTAGGCTTGTGTGTAGCTACTTGGCCATGGAAACCCATTTCATGAAGCTCCTGATGCACAGTTCATTTGCTGATGTTTCTTCCAGAGGCAATTTGGAACTTGTTAGTGAATGATTCAACAGAGGCACTTCAGCACTCATTGGCCCTGCTCTGTGTGGTCTGTCGTTTCGTTACTGAGCTGTTGTTGATTCTAGATGCTTCCATTTCACAAAAATAGCACTGACAGTTGACAGGGGCAGATCTAGCAGGACAGAAATTTCACAAACTGACTTGTGGCAGAGGTGGCATCCTATGACAGTGCCATGTTTAAAGGCTCTGAACTCATCAGTATGACCCATTCTACTGCAGGTGATTCATACTTTTATTTTTTTCTCACCTTGATTATTGTCATGCATTGCTCAAAGAACTTCCTACAAACACAACAAGTAAACTATAACTAAAAAGTGCAGCAGCAAGACTATTAACACATATTAACTCATATTAGACCAGTTTTAGCGTCAGTCGACTGGATATCTGTTTTATTTAGAATTCACAATAAACTTTTATGACTAGTTTTGAAATCTCTTCATTGTATAACACCTTCATGCAGCTCTGAATGCCTAAGCTGTGCTCCAAATTGTGCCTTCCATATCGACCTTTCAGTGCTGGCCTCCTCCATAATTCCAATTATGAAACTTAGAAACACAAAGCAGCCTTTTGAGTTTCCAATAAATTCCCATTAAGTATCTGTCAGGCTCTGTCATTAGTTTTAAAAAAACAGTTTTTCTGACTGTAAAACATATTTCCTGACTGTAGCATTTCACTAGCTTTTATAAGGTCCACTGACAGTATTTATGTTGGTTTTACAATTTGTTTTCACATGGTCCTTTTCCAGCCCCTCTTTCTCCCTTAGAATTAAACAGGTTGTTTTTGTTACTGTGCCTTTAAGACTGATACATGTAAATGAGCTCTGTTACGATTGGCTGCCCTGCATTGCGCTTCGTTGAAAAAGCTGTCCAAGCTGAAACACTCCTTATAACCTCAGTGTGAATGGGCAGGACCAAACTGCTGTAGGCTGGATTGGTGGGTACATGTTGTTTTTCATGACATCATAAAAACAGTGAATTCAATTGAGTTTTTGCAGTTAGTTTCCACATATGGATTGTATGGGCTGAGGAGCGCGTTGTTGATTTTGTCTATATTATTAATACATATGTATGTTTTCACTTGCCATACCCTCTTAAAGTGAGTTCCAGTGTGATACCAGATTCAATATTGTTTGATATGAGCTGGCATTGGCCATAAAACAGTACGGCAGGACCAGAGATGGTAAATTGAGGTCTAGAGATTAAAGGACTTTCTGCACCTGAATTTTCCATATCTGGACAAGATCTCATCTTAGTCCATCTGTTTCTTTCCGTGACACATTTTGGATGGAAACTCTTTTCTTCTTCGCCTGCTGGTGCATGGTGATGTAATTAAAACTCAGAAAACTTTTCTAAAAAAATTTTAGAAGTGGGCAAGTCATTACATTACACTGAAGATCATGGGAAAACAAGAATTTTGTCATTTAAATGACACAATATGATAAGGGGTTGTACTGATCAGTCCGAACATAAGTAGCTGTGTCCTGAGTTAGCTGGGATGAGAGTCTGTAGTTCACCAGAAATCTGTGAAAAAAGATTTTCCAGTACATGCTGACAAAGTGATCTTCTGTACACAAGTAAGCAGTTCATCTTCTATTTTATTTAGTTTGATTCAGTGGTATGGGACTCTCTGATGAAGGTAGATAGCTTCATCCAAAAGCCTGTCCAATGGAAAAGGAGGTAGAAATCTGAAAATGCAGCTTTACAAAAGTGGAGTTAAAATGTCTAAAAATAGGAAAACATTGAGTGTCATTATGATCAATTGCTGACACCTGAAACTCACTTACATATGTAAGTGAGCAATTAAAATAAATGCTACATTTAAATGAGCATACTGCACATATAAATGAACAGAAAGTGCCAATATTGAAGTTAAATGAGATGCAACACCAACACACTGAGCAGGGAAAAGCTGCACCTGCTGGCCTTCCAAGCAAGGTTGCACTTATTTAAACATACACCTGATAAAATATCTTGATTTGCCTGTTTCACTGGAACATTTTTAGAAATGTATTTTTTTCCATTTGTTTAACCCCTTAAATGGCCAGGGCCCACCAGCAGGCCCAAAGTTTTATTACACACTTCTATAACCTAAGAATAGCTCAACAAGTTTCCACTGAAGTCCCTGTAGTTACTGAATAATAAGCCTTAGTATGTAATAAGTCTGGAATTAAGAGGTTAAGAAAACAAATTCACCCACTTCCGTTTTCACATTTGGTACACAGAGTAGACTATAAAAACTCTGCTGAAAAACAGATGCTTATTTCATCTTGCAGGTTTGAGGTAAGGAAGAGCTTGTTTCTTGTCATTCTTCTAACATCTTAAACTCCTAGTCTTATGACATCTTTAGATCTGTTATTCAGTAATTACAAAGAAAACAGTTCCAAGTGGCTGAGTTATTTTTCTAGTTGAAATGGTCATTAAGAACAATGTTCTTCATTTTTGAGCATCAGGGAAATAAAGAAAACATATATTTGACCACATATTACACAGAAGCCTCAACAACCAAATATAACATTGTATTTTTAAGTATTTAATGTGTTCACACTTTACCTTTGTTACAGATTCCTTTTTTAAGGGATTTTTAACAGTTCAGTTTTAGCAGTTGGTTGCATTTTTTTGCTTCTAATGACCCAAGTAATCCTAAATACATTCAGTAATGTTGAGGTCTGGCCAGCATCCAGGCTTCCATTCCTCACTTCTGTAATGTAAAAACAATTTAGCCAGTTTTGTTTTCCATATAATTCCTAAATTATAAGCCTTAGGATGTAATAAGTCTGGGAAAATCACTCAAATTTTATTTTAGCAATACAACACTATTTTCAGCTACACATAAATACAGAAAATAAACCTTCATAATGTTTGATTTGTGTCTGATGTGGATGGCATATTACATTATAAGCCAAACAGTCATGGCTCCATAGTTAGCTAATTAATCATTAATCATGCTGCTGTGGATGAACTCCTTTTACAGACTGCTGACTATGATGTATAAGGTTCTGGGTTTGGTGGCCCTTTTGCTGGTCTGCTCTGTCCGAGCTGAGGAGGTAAGTCACACAGAGAGACCCCAAATCACACATTTTCAAAGTACACGCAATAATGCAGTCATCTTACTTGTGAATAACTTGAGTCTTATGTCTCTGTTTGTATCGTCTGTTTTTTCTTTTCATGTGATTCTCACATAGCGCCGTAAGTTGAAACTCTTTAGATTATAATTCTATGAAAGCCCTGAAAGATAAGATGAAAAAAATTGAAACTGTGTTCCTGAGTCTAATTCCACTTTATTAATTTTCTCTGCCTGTTCAACATACTAAAAACTAAAAATTAAGAAATTTTTTCTGTGTAAGGTTGTTATTTTGGAGATACAAGGTTTTGTTTCCGACAGCATAATATGTTGTATAATATGCTGCTGGCGGAGTGTTTGTGTGTGTGTGTGTGTGCGTGTGTGTGTGTGTGTGTGTGTGTATGTTCACTAACTCTTATCATGTTAGACAAGCTTTGACCATAAGGGGGCATTTCATTGAAAAGAGTGCCAAACCTAATGCAACTAAAGAACTGGTCATCATACATTTACATATCTATGCAAATTTAGCTAAATACAGGGTATAATTAGAATAATAGCTTCTTAGGTTTGTGAGCCATTACAGTCTGCTACAAACAAACAGGCTAGGAGAGCATGCAGCTTTTATCTCTTCAGGCCATAAGCTAATTTCTTCCAGAGCTGATTCAATCAACATTTATAAAAACAAAGAAAAAAAGACACTGAACAGTTTGACTCACCTGTAACTGTATGATGGCCAGTTTTCTAGTTTCTACTTTTTTTTCACATGGTCATCAATTATGAGGAGGAAAACAACAGCTGCCCCCTGCTGGTCAAAGCTGGTGTAATATGCAATGTGTTAGCCAATGCATGTATTTTTTCTTACTTTACCCGTCTGGTGCACCTCAGCAGTCAAAAAAAATTATGAAGTGGATTAAAGTGCAACTTCATGCCTGGATCCTTTAAAACAAAAATATCATACCCTTCAGGGCTTCTGTATTTTTACTAATATACTTCGTTGATGTAGTATGATGAGGTAATTATTTTACCAATCAATCCTCTGTTAGGGCTGTCTGTCGGGGAGAAGTTGGAGAGAGCTAACAGAAACATCGGTACGAACATTTTGAGCGCACACCCACTGTTTTTACATCACCAAAACTTGTTCTTTGGGTATTTACACACAGTATGAATGTAAATGTGTTTGTGAATGTAAATGTAGTAAATGCAGCCTTTCTGTTGTGTTTGTCAGTTCGTGGTCCTAATGAGCCAAGAGTTATAGGAGACATTGCTGTGGACGACACTGGAAGGAACGCTGATCCCTGCACTGCTCTAGGCTGCAAGTGGCCCAAGTCCAGTGACGGATTGGTCTACGTGCCATACGTCATTGCCAACCACTACTGTATGTCAGCAATAATTGCACCTCAAACACCGTTAACTGCCTATTCTTTGTACTGAGCACCAGCTTACTTTCTAACATTCATCTTAACTCATTTAACTCTGAAAAACATAGTGGCTGCTAACTCTGCCAACACTGTTACATTTTTATATAAGTCACAAATTATAAGTAACTTTTTATTTGCTGTCTCACAGCAGAGAAAATACGATTAGAATTGACAAACTAACTCAATTTCATTTCAGTTACTCAACTGCACAATTAATTATGCTCATTTGCACCTATGTGTTCAGAGCTTATCTTTAATAATTGCCATTTGCTGATCCATTTTATCGGAAATTATTTGAGTTTCATTCATTCTTGCTCTAGAAAATGATTCCACTTTGACACTGGACTGATCTTTACTGCCTTTTCCCCCTTCAGCCTCCCGTGAGCTGCAGGTCATTCAGCGTGGTCTAGACTCTTTCTCCTATGCCTCCTGCATCCGTTTCATACCACGCACCAATCAGAGGGATTACATTTACATTCAGTCTGATAGTGGGTAGGCGTCAACGTCCACATTAAAACCAGAATAGAACTGATATTATAAAAGGGATAGTTCTGGTCCATAAATCTGATTGGCTGAGCTGCAATCAAAGCAAAAATGTAAAATATATACATTATTATCAACATTAGTTCATAATGTTCATGTTTCTTGGCACCCATAGACAACCGTTAACAAACACTGCATGGTGGAAGAATTATTGTGATTATTATTAGGGGTCCAAGCACCGTCGCTTAATTTTGACCAATCATCATGAAACTCAAACAGAATGCCCAAGTAGGGACTCTGTAGCCTTAGAAAGTTTAATAAGATTTGGCCACTAGGGGGTGTTATTCATGTTTAAATTAATATCAAGTACATCCCTAACTACATTTTACTTGTGGATATAAAAGTGTTTTCACAGGCGCTAATTGTTTGAGAGCAGCATTTCAAACAAGTACAGGCATTCTGAGGCAAAATCAGTCTTGAAATAATTTACGGCTTCTGTAGGTATATAATTATCAAAAATAAAAGTTGAATTTTTGCCCACCATGCTCTCCACATTTCAATCATCGTGGCATTGGCCTTTCTAATTTAAACAGATACATTTTTAAAATGATCAACCAAATTTAAAACCCATATATAGATTGATATTCAGTCTATGCATGCAAAATCTGACACACATTGGCCTTTAGGGTGTACCACAGCACAAAAAGAGATTCAAAAGCATTAAAAGTCCTATCACCATTATTTCCTGCATCCTGTAGATAAAGGATGAATATCTTGTGATTCAGTTCTTTTAGCTGAACACCTTTGCAATTAAAAGTTATGTCAGAAATTCTGTTGTTTCTCATGTATTTTGAATTATTATTTGCTTATTTATTTCAAGTCTACTGCTAATTATACAGAGATTAAATGATCAATCTGCTGAAAACTTCTTTGTGAGGGATCTATGAATCAGAGTGGTAACAGTCCAGAGAAAACAGCTAACGAAAAAAACAGAAGTTTAACACACTAACAAACAACTGAGACTTTGTCAACAACAGAGTTTACCACAGAAAGGTTAACCATAGTAAAATCACTCACACAGCCTAAGGTGGCACATTGCTTTATTAATGAATCTGTATCAAGAATCAAAAGAATCCAAAATATATACAAAGTTTAGATTATATTTAAAATTGGAACCAGTACTACAACCTTGAATATGTATCAGGATCAAAATCATAAAATAGATGAGAATTCAATCAAATTAGATTCAGTCTCACGCTGTCTTTGTTTGGCAGATGCTACTCTTATGTTGGTCGCCTTGGTTATAGCCAGACTGTGTCTCTGGACCGCAGTGGCTGCATCTACTATGACACCGTCCAGCATGAGCTGCTCCATGCTCTGGGATTCAACCACGAACAGACCCGCAGTGACCGTGACAACCACATCCTCATAGTCTGGGACAATATTATTGAAGGTTCGCTCTCAATTTTTAAATCTTAGATTTTGCATAAAGGTTTAAGGCCATAGTAGACTATGAGTGTATTGTAGTACCAGTTAATGCTTTGATTGTTTTGGAACAGACATGAAATACAACTTCGACAAGATCAACACTCTGAACCAGGGAACTCCCTACGACTACAACTCTGTCATGCAGTACTTCAAGTCAGTCATTTACAAAACAATCCACATTCATGCATTTCACCTTCTCTTTCATTATACTGGTACCAGATTACTTTACAGTACATAGCTTTTTAAATTCTGCCAGGTCCAATGTCTTGACTCATTCATCATATCTCTGTTGCTCCACCATCCCCAGTCTGATCAGATTACTTTTTAGTTGAATAAGTTTTAAAAAAAAAAGCAGAAAGTAAAAAAACAAATCTGAGCCTAACAGAATTATTGGCAAGATTTTATCAGGAATCTGTACTAGAACAAAAGGCTAGTATCATGGCCTTGTAGGCTGTGTACCTCTAAAACTGTGATAAGATCATATTTGGGATGAGTAAATTGTATGGAGGGACACCTAATTCTGACAAACTCTGATTTGATGTAATAAGATCTTTGTGCAACCAAACAGGCCCTGGATCACTAATGTAAAGGTAAAAAGGAGTTGTTTTGATGTGAAGTGAGTCTTTGTTAATATAAATGTAGTTAATTTAGCTTTAGTTAAAAAGACAAAAAAAATAAATCAGTGGCATTTCTTGGCTTTTTTTCAGTCAAAACATGAAATGTTGTAGCCAAGGGCAATAATAGGCAGTGTCAAGCCCAGAATACAGTGGATAGGAATTTACTATGGCAAACCGAAACCGAACACAAGTGAGTGCAAACTTTACAACTAACCTCATAGGTGGAGTGATTTGTAACAGACAGAGTGACTAACTGTAATAATCACTAAAAGGTCTAGTAAGTTGGTGCAAACCATAATTAACTCAGTTAAATTATGTGCTGCTCGAACCAGATATGCTTTCAGATCTAAATGAATAAATAAATAAATAAATAAATATACAACCCAGTTTCCAAAAAAGGTTAGGACGCATTGCAAAATGTAAATAAAAAAAAATGCAATGATGTGCAAATCGTTTAAACCCTATGTTTAATTAAAAATAGTACAAAGACAACATATCAAATGTTGAAACTGAGAAATTTTATTGATTTTTGAAAAACATATATGCCAATTTTGAATTTGATGCCAACAACACGCTCCAAAAAGGCAAATGTGGCAAAGAGAAAAAGGCAAAAATCAGAACAAAAAAAATAAACATTTATTTTATATTTACATAACAGCTAACATTTTGGATGAATATGAGCATAAACATTTCCAAAAGCTGACTGTTTTGAATTTATATGGAGGATATGGGCTACTCTTATTATTTACTTTACTACCCTATTTTACACTGTGGTAAAACTAACCCCAATGTTGAGGAGGCTGTACTTTAGCCTGGCTAGCTCTCACTGTGAGCTATTTACATGTTTCAAAATGGTGCTATATTACAGCCACCAAGAGGAAGTGAATTCTGTGACTTAAATACACAACTCAGACATGGAAAAAAATTTAGATGAGAAAAGTTAATGCCATAAAAACAGTCTTCAAAGTGAATCTTGAGAAACATCTGTCTGATTGCTTCCAAATTCACAGATAGCTATGCATTTAGTCAGCTATATGACTAAATGCATGCTCTACTTCAACCTGTTTAACTACAACATACACATTTCACCCTGTATTAGTTTGTGCCCTACTCTCTTCTAGTCGTTGCACACCAAAGAAGACAGAGCTCTAATTCTTAGAGCTTATATCAATTAATATTTAAAGCAAGACTAAATAAACAAAAGTATAATTAATTGAGGATGAAGCAGTCACAATTGTGCATACTGTGTTATTATTCATCTTTTATTTTAAAGAAATTACTAAAAACCAATAACATCATGTTTATTTGATAAAGAACATAGACTGGTTTCCTCAGTATGGATCAAGCCTTGTCTTGAACTAAATTGCATTACATGGTGATTCATCAAGTCTAGGCATAACATAATGTAGGCTCTATATGTTGAGCGACTTGCCTAATAAATGAATCGGTTATCTTTTTTTTTTTTTGGTAATTTCAGCACTGCTTTCACTAAGAATGGTCTGCCCACCATGATTCCCATCCCTGACAACAATGTGGTCATTGGCCAGGCAACTGAGATGAGCCAAAATGACATCATCAGACTGCAGAGACTCTACGAGTGCTGTAAGTAGTCAGACGTTTGACCTTACAGCAGCACTTCTGAAATGCCTTTTCAAGTGAACCTGTCATGCCTTATGAACCATTCTGCTTAATTAGTCTACTTTTACCCATCAGGAACAGAAGAACTCCCTCTGTCCACCAGTCAGACACACCAGGAGAATTCAAATGGAAAACACACATTTCAACTGCTGTGTATAACTAATCCACTAATGGGATTATCAGCCTATATGTCTGTTTTAATTTATTGATAATGCCATTAAAAACAATCCTTCAAATAAATCTGCAACTAACATTAATATCAACTTTTGTCTTTTTAATGGATAGATGCATGCATAAAAACACGGGATATAGCTGTGTTACAAAGAACTCTGTTATGTACTTCAGTGGATGTATTTGTTTCAGACAGTATTAGACTAATCAAAATAAGAGTACTGATCTTGTAATTTCCCTTTTTCACTGTACTGTACCAAAGTAATCTGCAGATCCAAACAATGAAACATCAGATTCATCTTAAAGGTACAGGAAAACTACAGAGGTAACTTTACCTTTGAATGGTTTTAAATGGTAGGCATAAGCACCATGAAGGTCCAACAACATAAAATAATGCTACTGTCTAAAATATTACTTCTGTAAAAATGCATATTTACATTTAATTAGCCTGGTGTGTTTAAGTTGCTTAGAAAGTATGCTTTAAAAAAAGCAGAACATCTAGACATAACTAACATGTACTAAGAGACAATGTGTTTATATAGGCGATGGCCTAGAGTGACACTTGTACCAAATTATACCAAATTATTATTATTGCAGCTCGGGCCACCCTTTATTCACCCCCACCCTTTGGTAATACCCACCTCCATGTACTAATTGACCAATTGTAGCTTAGCAACTGTAACTAGGCACACATGGGCAAACTCAGAACTCTCCCCTATACTGCAGATATCCAAATGGGGAAACTATAAATCAAATACTTGATATCTCAAAAATTTGAAGGGGGAGTGAAATTTTATCCATTTCCTAAACTGAAGACATAAGAGGAGAGGAGTAGGATGTGGATTAAACAGTGGAAGACCACATGACCAATTAAACCTGTGAAAAAATCATATCAATTTTGTACATTTTGTTTTCTGTGAACCATTTCCACTATTCAAGCTGGATAAGTTTTGCTAGAGGAGATCCAGTAACATAATTTGTCAGGGATTTTACTGGCCAATTTATGCAGGATGAAGTATCTCTACAAATTTCATAGGCTACCCCAGATAGCCCAGTTTGAGACATCAAATTTACTTCAGACATTTACTTCAGTGGTAAGATTAAAATTAAACAGGTCCAGACCAACAAATGCAATACAACTTTCAGAATATTTCATTTTCCTTCTCCTACTAATTAGGTCAAAAATTGCTGTCCATTAGTTTTTTCTTTAACATGTTTCAAGCCAAGCTCCATTTTAGAAGTTAGCCTAATCTTCCAGTCACTGAGAAAAGAGGTGCTATTACCTATTACCAGGACGTATTATTATGTTACAGTGAGGTTGATTTAAACAGTACTAGTACTGAAGGAACTCCAGGTTTGGCAAATTATAGAAACTGATTTTTTTACTGCAGACTTCTAATAGATATTAACAGTGCAGATCAATACTGGATTAACATCACAGATTTGATGGTAATCACTCTGTGGAGAAGGGGGCGTGGCCAAGCATCATATGCAGGATGGAGAGCCGGTTGGGCTGAACCAGCGGGCTAAGTAGCTGATGATATTCACTTGAGCCTTGTTTCTGCCAGCCTACTTATAGCCATCTCTTTTCCCAGTGGGTGGCAGAGCCCAGAGAGAAGGATACCTGTGGAGACCTGAGAGCAGAGCAGAGCTGAGCTAATAGAAAGCAAAGCAAAGCAAAGAAAAGACTGAAAAGTCCCAGCGAGCGTGTTGTTTTATTTTGTCTGTGGGTTGAAAAGCCAAGTGGTTTTTGTGTTGTGTAAAAATAAATGTAGTTCTCCGTCTCCACACCTGCTCCCGGTGTACTCACTCCTCTCATCCTTCAAAAGTCGTTGCACACTCAAATTACAGCACCTGCCCAGGTAATACTAATCCAGCTCCAGTAGGGCTTCTATAGTTTCAGTGTCAACAACGTTGGAAGCACTTTATAATGCTTGATAGTAATCACTGTTTATTATCACAAAATTTAGTCACTGATATTCTATGCAGATACACTTCTTATATCATTGTTATTGTGCGAGAGCAAGAAAGGTGCATAATTTCTTTTCAAAAGCCATGTCTTTCCATTACTAAGAATATTTTAATTCTGATAATATATTTAAACCTCTCCCCACTTGTGGGCATACAGTTCAATCCCTCTCTATCAAAACTACATATTTTACACAACAGTTTGACAGTAGTGACCAGATAATGTTTTGTAATTACTGAATAATAAATAAAAAAAAATTTTAATGGTTTAAAGTAACCGAATAACAGTGAAAAATTGACTGTGGATGGCTGGACATGTAGCACCCCTCATACTCTGCTGAAAGGAAGAGAGAAAAAGAGAAAAACATCAAGACTTTCAGGTACAACCCCCTCTGTCTTCAAACTTGAGGAAAGTGCAGAGGAAAAGCAGTGTGAGTGCATTAATACCTCAAAAAGAAACTCCGCTAACGACAATAGAGTCTTTTTATGCGTAGGATGTCCATACGGCTCATTTTAGTGGCGCGTCCAATAGCAACGTTAGGGTCTGGTATGGGGATGATGGTTGGCTGCCTGTTCCTGGAGAAAGCATACCTGGATCCACACAGATCATATACAGAGTTCTCTCTGATGAGCACCATACATTTAAAAAAGGTACATCCAAACACAACGAAGGAATGAACGACAAAACAAACGTAAACCTTACTTTCCATAGTGCATGACAGAGCTGTAGTCATATGGGGTGTGCAGGTTGTTGGTTCTGATTTTCCTGAAGTTAGGCTCCCGTCCTAATAAAACAACCATAAAATGATGATCAAGTCAGTAAAGCTGATTTTGGGATTCTCATTAATCTGTTAAACATACAGTGCTATGCAAAAGTCTTAGCACCTAAGGAAACTGTTAACCCCTTAAAATCACAGGCTTAGTACATACTAAGGCTTGTTATTCAGTAACCACAGGGAGTTTAATGCAAACTGGTTGAACTGTTCTTAGGTTATAGAAGTGTGTAATGGATTTTGGCCATTTAAGGGGTTAAAACCAATTATCTTAGCAGTAAATGTGTTTTTGGCTTGTAAAAAAACATATATCAATAGAATAACCACAAATAAACATGAATGCAGGAAAAAGTAACAAAAAATTCTTATTTAAAAAAAAAAGGATATCTTGTGAGCTGGTTAAAAGAACACAGATTGATTATAGATTTCTATTGCCTTTAAAGAAGGATTGATTAGCCGAACCAGGTACTGAAAGATAACTGTATATGGTTCTCCCTCAAGGAGTGGTTGGGAAATGGTAAAACAAATGCAATGACATATAGAAAACCATTACTTATTAACTAATTATTACTAATTAATTTTGTATTTATTTTAAGAAGAGTGTTTTTCTAAGCAAATAAACACTTACTGAGCAGATAAATATCTTTTTAAATACAAGTCTCTCAGTTGATTAAATTTTGTACGGCACTGCATTCCATGAGCTTCATTAAGCAGCATTACAGCTTATATATTTCTAAACTTCCTTGCTTGTTTACTTTGAACAACATGTGAAGGGGATCCTGTCTGCTTGCTTATGAATTTTAACTGACTATAGAAGTGTACAATCACAAATTAAGATTAGAATGAAAATGAACAATCTTTAAACTTCATAAAAAGAGCACACAGATGTAGGAGGAAACGCCTGCTCAACTCACCAGGAATGATGTTTTGATAGAGGATCCGTACATGCCGGTCACGGTCACTGCGGGTCTGCTCGTGGTTGAAGCCCAGAGCGTGGAGGAGCTCATGCTGGATGACACCGTGATAGATACATCCTCTGCGATTTAGAGACACAACCTGCTCTCCACCTCTTCTACCCACAAACGAGTAGCACCTGTGTGTCAAAAACAGCAGGTACAAATACAGGAAATTCTAAGAGCTACTCCACCTTCCCCCTTAACTGTGACTTCAGTGAGGCAGAAGGGAGCAGACTAAATGATTTTCATAATATAATAAACTCACACTAACAGAAGCCTCCAAAATATTTATTTTATTTACTTTTTATACAAATTAAACTTAGTCTTGGACAAAATTCCTGATAATTGCCTTGCAATATTTAATAAGATTATTCAGTTAGCAGGTTTTAGCTTTGAAATAAGCTTAGATAACAGGTCTTTAGTATTAGTATTTAGTATGATACAGTCTTTAGTTGATGTACCCTGAACGAGACTGAATATGAATATAGTCTCGCTGTCTGCGACGAGGCCTGAATCGAATGCAGGTGGATCTCGCAAAGGACTTCAGAGCTTTCTTAATAACACTTATTTCCTGGGATGCTACGAAGGAAATATAAAAGCTTAGTAAACAGTGCAGTTATATGCTATAAAAATTTAAGACAGCTTGAAATTTTAAGTCAACTTTATGCATTGCTTTGTTTTAAAACTTAGTTTAAATTCTGCTTTATCCCTCTGGGGTCCACAAACTCGCCCACGTGTCAAATTTGATGTTTCTATATATCAACTTTGCGACATTACAGTGCAGAAATATGGTTCAGACATTTCCAAAATCTACAGAGTCCGCCTCAGAGAACTTGCAGAGAGGAGAATTACAGCTCTGTAATGTCTTCTGGGTTTCTCATACGATAGAGGGCACTCCTGAGCAAGTGCAAAATGAATGGGTTAAGATGGAGCATTTGAGTAAAATCATAGTTTATAAATACTTAAATAATGTTAATGTAATTGAATGCATCCATTTCCTGAACTCAGATCAGCATAAAACATAATAACACCACTGTTATATTTTTAAAAGCTTTTAAACTCAAGTTATAGAAGTTTAAAACGGTGCTGCATGTACATCCATGACATCAGTGAGCATGAAAAGCCAATGAGCTGCCCAACCAGTCAGCACTCGGTAGCAGTAATGTAGCATCCTACAGCCCAAAACCTGATTGCTGTAGAGAAAAAGGAAACACACAGGTTAGTTTTCTTTGCTTTTTAGTGAAATACATCCTTCTACTTTCTAAAATTAAAGGAAGGTTCTGGACAAGTGATGAGAAACTATTTTAACTTTTCGTTTTTAGTCATTGAGCTCCATTTACTCCCATTCATTGAGGACTCGCTCACGGGTGCCCTCTGCTGTTTTGCAGTCATGTTTTTGATATAACGGGGGTAATAGGAAGAGGCCAGGCTCCCAATAAACTGGATCTGGTCTGCCCTTTAGATTCCATCTCACTATAAGATTGTACGTGTTGAGTTATGGGGCTATGAAATGGGGTGGAGAAACACGTTATCTGTTTCTCACCATGTGTAACTGGTGGATTCATGTGCCCATCTACATTTTGTGTGAAACTGACCAATGGAAGCTCAGGAAGTCACTAAGGACCTACACATCACTTTGGAAATGCTTCATTCTTCATTCAGTCGACATCGGAGACACATGTGAAGTGGCATGCAAAGTAGTTGCTGCAGCAGTTTTGTAAAGCAGTGATGAAGATAATGGAGCATTTTGATATAATACATATGGTTATCATGTTGTATGCAATGTCTTTCAAGGCATATTTAAGAAGATATACAAAAATTGTGAAAAGTTCCTTAGACCCCACAGGGTTAATAATAAAAAACTCACTTTTTTTTAGTACTGCGTCTCAGTTAGATCAACAGGACAGTTTAAGCAGAGCTTACTCAAAATATGTTGAAATTGCTTTCTGGATTTTCATTCAGTTCCTCTCCCGAATTTAGTCAGTTCTAACCCACAGGCTACAGTTCACTTAATTCCCCTTCTCACATACTGCCCCCAAGCTGGGTAGGGTGCTTGCTGTCAAGAAACCATAAGTTTGAATCCTGGTGATGCTTCAGTGCTCTGCAGCCTGAGAGGATACACTCAACCCCGCCTCCCAAAGACTGAGGGCACTGTGCAATAGGTGGAGGTGTAGGCTGTGGGTGGGATTTGAGAATGACCAAATCGGAGAAGGACAAATTTTGTTGGAGTAAAAATCCAATAAAAACTACAAGCACACAAGGAGGCATTCACTGCTTTTTTAAATAAGCTCAACTTAAGCTGCATTTTGTAGGCCTAACTTAGAAGCAGTACTAAAACGTAAGTCAGTTTTGCAAAAGGCTGCCTTAAAATTTCAAGTTGACCTCAGATTGAATTTTTACCTTTTTTTTACAAAGTAATCTGTTAACCCTGGTGTCACTCACAGTATTGGTTAGAAATGACGTAGGGCACGTAGACCTTTCTGTTTCTGCGTTTGCGCCACTTGCATCCACGAGATGTACACGGATCTGCATTCTGAAAGCCAGTATACATGGCAATGTCGCCAAACATAACCCTGGGTTCATCCGGTGCCTGTCCTGAGAAATAAAACATGAGAACTGACAAGCTGGTTTGCTGTGCTACTGTGATTAAATCTATGGTGAAAAGAGCAGTTCCTTCTATTGAACTGCAGGAGAAAATTCAGCACTGTTGATTATACAGTGTAAAATAAGTTACCATGGTGAACGAGTAATTTAGCAATGCTGATTTTATCATTTAGTTATCTGGCAGCAGAAAAAAAACTTCTTACTTGCGTTTTTGTTGGCTCTTTCAATTATAGAAGTTACTGAGGGGTCTTCATTCTCAATGCCGTTATCTGTGTAAAGCATTAATAAGACTGTTATTGATTTCCATTAATAGTAAAGGTTTCAAATAAAACACAAATCTAAACTTAATAGACATCCTGTAGTAATAAACATCTTACCAGTCTTCTCCTGAATGAATACCTGGTTTACAAAACATTGTAGGGAAGAGAATTTGGTAATTACACTGTTGCCAACTGTCAAGAAGCTGTTGTCAAGAAGATGCTATATTTCATATCTGCACCTTCTATGAGTGAGCTCACCTTTACAGAGCGACCCTGAGCTGGACTGAATCCCAGCAGCGGCAGGATGAGGACCAGAGTCAGGTGCATGATGGAAGCCTGCACAGACACTCAGAATGGCAAATGGTTAAGGCAGAGCTTCGGTTTAAATAAATGAGCTAATAACTTCAATCTAACGGACCTTGTAGTTGCTCAAGGTTTGTGGCAACCCATAAAGTAACCCAGAAAATGGGAAAAGCTTAAGCAATGCTCTTTCCAAACTCATAACGTCAAACCAAGCATAACACACCTCTTTACTTTATAAGGCAACATATGAGTGCTGGCTTTTTGGTGTCAAAGAGCGGAGAGGAAACAATAGCATGTAGTTCAATGGGATGATAAGAGATGCAAAAAGTGTGTAGCAATGTTACAAGTCATGCACTTGAACTATTAACCACGGGCCCCAAAAGAAAGCCATTTCTTAAATCTGCTGCCAGAGGAGTTTCATCACATGCACATTCCCACTGACCTCAGTAAAATAACTGTATCAAGTTTGATGCATGTAACCTGAGTTTCTATGTGCTACCATGTTTTCTATCACTGTGTAAAAGATGCACAAGGCTTCCTTTATTGTTGAATGCAGTGTGTCTTTTTCCATGCAAATGCACAAGTGCATTCAGAGTGCAGATTATATTGGTAAAAACGTACAATTCTCTTGTTTAATAAGAGCAACAATAAAGTGTGACTTATATTCTTTATTAATGGAAAAATCACTTTAATGATGTTTTGCAATCTCTCTCTGGGCATGGAAGGGTTTTCTCTTAATCAGGTTTGCCACAGCATTGCCTTGTTGTGTTCTACACAGTGGGCCTGTCCTCATGTGCACGTGTGCAGACCAAAACATTACAACAAAAATTCACTAGTGATACAATCATGACTGGCCTGCTTCGGGACCTTGCCCTATCAGTTCACATGTTTAGGAGCAGATGTTTTCTTCTTTGATGGTATAGCCACAGGTTCCTGATTGCTGGAGCAATTTCTTTAATGAGATTCCTGCATATTTTAATGTAGACCTGAAAACATGTTAGACTTTGTTTATCTGTGACAGTGCTTGTTCTGACTATTGAGGGACATAAGCAGCAGCTTGTGGTCCTACAGCCTCCAGGTGGCCCCCTAACAACTTCTGGATTATTATTGTACTATTATGTTGTCTTGTGGAGTATGTGCCCCTTTGCCTAAATGACTATTAATTTAATCCAAGAAAGGCGCTATAATGATGTGGACCGAATTTTAATGAATGCATCATTCATGATTCCGGTATGTTTAACAACCCTGTCTTTTTCTTGACCCTCAAATCACTACTTAAGTACATGAAGCAAATTAGCTGATGAAACTTAAGCCTAGTAGACTAGTTGGAGATAATTTTCTGTTGTAGCCTGTCTTGTGGTAGCAGGCTTAATTCAGTTAACCCATGTGTTTGTTCTGTTAATTAGCTTGTTTAACACATTTTATTGGCTGCCAGCTTTTAAGGGTCTCTGCATGCTCTGCATTACATTTGTAACACACAGCCAATTGCCTGATACATAAGGAGGAGTTAACAAAGAAGGAAAAAGAAATCATATTACCTTAACTTGTAGTAAGAAAAATATCTATAATGGTAAAGAAGCCACTGCAACCAGACATTAGATCCAGTTAAGCTTAAAGTCAGCTGGATAAGAAAAAAAAGACTGCGTTGTGAAACAGACCCCTAAATCCAGATTATATATATATATATATATATATATATATATATATATATATATATATATATATAGGTGAAGCTGATATAAGGCTTGGCCTATGAACTAAAACTCTGTGTTCTTACTATAGAATTATAGAATTAAACTCATACTGAATCAGAATCATTAATCCTCACTTTAAAAAAAGATCCGAAATAACAGTTAAAAAGTGAGCATTATTTTCACAAGTTGAAATTTGGGGTTTGGGGCTTTCCTCCAAATGGAAAGGACTAAAACTCTTTGTGTTTCGGTGCTGGCATGAAAATATGGGACAGCATTTTCAAATTGAAATAATTTTTTCATTTAAAAATTGAAATCCTTTAACTTTCCTACAAAAGAAATCAAAAAGAACTTAAAATAAACTTTAAAACAAAAAAGTTGGGATAAGGTCATGTTTACCACTGTGTTTCATTACCTCTTCCTTTAACAACACTCCTTAAGCATTTAGGAAATGAGGAGACCAATTGCTGTAGTTTTGAATGTGAAATGTTTTCCTGTTCTTGTTTGATATAGGATTTCAGCTGCTCAACAGTTCAGGGTCTCCTTTGTCTTATTTTTCATTTCATAAAGTGCCAAATGTTTTCAGTGGTGTCAGATCTGGACTGCAGGCAGGTCAGTTTAGCGCCTGGACTCTTTTACAACAGAGCAGTGCTGCTGTAATACATGCAGAATGTGGTTTGTCAAAAGATGTTTTCTCGATGGCAGCATATGTTGCCAAAACATGAATATATTGTTCAGCATTAATGGTACCTTCATTCATGTGCAGTAATGCACCCCTATACCATCATGAATACTGGCTTTTGAACTGTGCACTGATAATAAGTTAAGTGGTCTTTAGCCCAGAGAACACAGTGTCCATGATTTCCAAAAATAATTTCAAATGTTGATTTGTTGGACCACAGGACATTTTTCCACTTCACCTCAGTCCATTTTAGATTAGCTCAGGCCCAGAGAAGGTGGCAGAGTTTCTGGATCCTGTTCGTATATGGTTTCTTTTTTGCATTTTATAGTTTTAACTTGCATTTATGAATGCAGTGACAAGCTGCCTGAGGGCCCAAAGATCACGGCCAGCAAATACAATTTTTTGGTCTTGTCCCTTGCATACAGAGATTTCTCTGGATTCTCTGAATCTTTTAATGTTAACATGTACCATAGATAATGAAAAGCAAAAGTTCTTTGCTATTTAATGCTGAGAAATGTTACTCTTGAATTTTTGCACATGCACATGCAATTTGCCAGTCTTTCACAGAGTGGTGAAGCCTTCCTCATCTTTACTTCTGAAAGACTCAGCCTCTCTTTTTTTATATCCAATCATATTACTGACCTGTTGCCAATTAACCACCAGGTGTTTTTTTGGCATTACACAACTATATCAGCCTTTTGTTGCCCTGTCCCAACTTGTTTGGAATGTGTTGCTAGCATCAAATTCAAAATGGGCATATGAAAAAAATCAAAAAATAAAATTTCTCAGTTTCAACATTTTATGCTGTTTTGGTACTATTTTCAATGAAATATATGGTATAAATGATTTGGACATCATTGCATGGTTGTAGTAGAATGGTCCATATGTATTTCGGCTGTGGGCCCTAGGCGGCTGCCTATCTTTGTTTAGTGTAAAATCCGCCCTACATGTAAAATATATTCATGTCCACTATTAATAGGCACCAATAGTCCACTTTAAATCTTGGTGTAACATCATCCTTATCCTTAACTGAGAAATTCCTTTCCAAGGCCCCTTGTTAAACGCTTGAAATCATGGTCCCTCAAGGTGTATACCACTTGAAACCCTCTTTTTAACCTTTTACTTGACACCAAGGTGCAAAATACAGGGGGTCCTGGAGGGTCTGGGACCCTTTTAACCTCTTGGACTGTATTTTGAAAGAAAGTCATTTAATTATGTGGAAATACTTTCCATAATTCAATAACATGAAGCCAAAGAAAGATATTTTGGAGTAAATATTATGTAACTAACTGTACAAGCAATTTTGTAAATAAATACAAATAGACTAGCAAAATAACAGTATTGACTCTTTACTAACAGTAATAATTAGCTCTAAATGTCTCTATTAACTCTTGCAAGGAAAAAACTGGACCATGGAGTCTAGTGGCTGCTTGATGACTACCAGTTGTTTTGAAACACTCTGTTTAAACAGAATGTTTAAGAAATGCAAGCAGCAGATTTTGCAACACTTTGTGGGAGTGTGTTCATTTTGTCATGCTGCTGACTGCTGAGGACACTGCTGTTGCTTAATGCTAACGTTCTGGTGCATACACAAGCAGGAACATGCAAGAGGGTTAACTGATAATGATGATGAGGAATAATGACTGAAGCGTTTATCACACTGAAAGCCAGGATAAAACAGAGCTCAGAGTCTAAGATTACACCTGGGTTTCGTACTTCAGGTTTGGTATATGAATAAAGCAGGCTAGCTTTTTATAAAGCAGCTTTTTATGAATTTTATTACCATGAATAAGTTTTTCAGTTTTTTCTTGATTTATTTGTAGAATATTTTGTGACACCCACTGAGAAATATCTGACAAACAACTGGTAAGCCTGTCATCAGAGTCTTGATTATCAGAAGGAATGGAAATATATAATCGTGTGTCATCATCATAGCTATCAAAACTGATATCATGTTTCTTAATGACATCCCCTAAAAGTAACATTTACAAAGAGAAAGGGAAAGGCCCTAAAACTGAACTACTCCACAAGAATATATTTCTGTGATATACATTTATTTCTTAATAAATCTTCTTTTAAGAAGAATGAAACTGCATACAACAATGCTATTTTGTCTTTGTGAGGACCAGTTCCAACCTATTAGTCACAACACCACATGCACAGAGTTTGTTGAAAAGGATTAAGACCAGTTGGACTCTGCCTTAAACTAAGTTTAAAGTTGGCTGGGTAAATAAGAAATATTGTGTCACGGGACAGTCGCATGGATCCAGAATGCTGAGAAGGTTATCTCCAATCTAAATTGTAACTATGTGGCTTCATGGGGCGGCTGCTTTTGCAGTTATGAGGCTGCCCTGACCAGTGGTGTTTGACAGCATGAGCGGCACTCCTATGAAATGTGTGTGTGTGTTTGTGTGTGTAAGAGAGAGAATGTGTGTGTGTGTGAAACAGATTCTTTCAGATGCAGAGCTGTTTACATGATTATTGTGTTTTATGTTTAATCTCTTTTTTTGTAAGTTCTATGCAGAAGACATTTGTGTTTTTGATACAGATCTGTTGTGATTATCTAGTTAACCATAAATTATAATATGAGACCTCACAACTTTAGCCATTGCTCATTTAATGCGTCTTCAGAAACAGAAAGAAAACAGTGACTGTGAAAGCAATTCAGTTCAATTTCTTTTCAAAACTGACATTATCTGGTGTGTTTTTCAACAGAAATCTAAGATGATGACAGCAGAAGAATTTTAAATGCACTGAAATGTAAAAGAAAGACTCAATTACAGTAGAGTTTGTTGACACGCAGGATGTCGTTGGCGTTCATCTCAGTGGCAAGTCCAATTTCCACATCCGGGTTTGGAATAGGGATCATGGTTGGCTGACCATTCTTGGTAAAAGCATCCCTGGATACCATAAAGATCACATTAGAGGCCTCAGTGGCCTTCAACAGTGCTAGGGCTCAGAAATGACCAACCAAAAGCAGAAAGTTACCTTTCATAGTGCATAACAGACCCGTAGTCATAAGCAGTGCCCAAGTTGTTGGTGTCGACTTTTTTAAAGTTCCCTTCCATTCCTATGCGTAAATAAATGAGATGATTATGAATTAATCATCAACGTTAATCTTGTGTTTCTCTAAAAAAAATCAGTAACTGGTGAAGGTCCATAACTACAAATGTCAGCAGCATTTTGGAGAGATTGTTTATAGAGAAATTTCCATTCCTCTCACCTGGTAAGACATTTTGATAGAGGATTTTGATATGCTTGTCACGGTCACTGCGGCACTGCTCGTGATGGAAGCCCAGAGCATGGAGGAACTCATGCTGTATCACATGTTTGTAGATACACCCATCGCGTTTCAAAGACAAGATCTGCTCTCCCCCACTGCGACCCACAGAGGAGTAGCACCTATGGGTCACATCAAGAACAAACAGCATGGATCAAATTCTTAGAACTGTTAGAAATCAGTAAAATGGTAAAGACAATACAGAGATTTAAATCAGGGCCCAGAAATCACACAAAAATCTATCAGTTTGCTCTGAGCAGAACCAACATTTTAATGTTTCCTTATTCCATTCCAATTCTCTTCTTTTCATCCGGTCAGTTGTAACAAAATGAAAAACTGGTTAATTCCATTTCTTTTACATAGGCTGTAATTAAACCTGATCAGTGGTGTAGTCCTAAGACAAAAAGTGGGTACACTATAAATCTGCAGTAAACAAATTGTTTACACAAATACGCGAAATACGAAAAATCTTTAAAAGTCCCTATACATGCCCCGCTACACCACCTAATATAGTAAAAAAAAAAGGTTTTGGAAAGCTAGTAGACCTCCCAGGCTGAGAATTTTTTCTGAATATGAATCAGTAAACTGCTCCAAAATATTGCTATGAAATAGCAATAAATAATTTATGGGAGACTGTTCCGAGTCCAAGTCCAAGTGAAATGACACATGCTGTCTATTCAGTTTGTAAATTACTTAAAAAAATCTGCATAATGCACGTAAAATGATATAATCAAAAATCATGTGAGACATGATGTAGATCCTGTAACATTTGGCAAGTAAGACATTATTGATAAGCTGGTGGTATGACAAAATAGTTAGGGATGATTAAATTTTCAGTTGTGTTTTTTGTTTCTAGCAAAATATAGTTTGTTTCCAGTTTTTGTGGGATAAATTATTTCCAGGAATATTTCCTGGAATAAATGTGCAAATTGGTCTGTTAAAAATGTTTAGAAAAATTGTAATAGTCTGTGCCTGGAGAATCTGTGATCGGAAAACTTTTACAAAACTCAGCTCACATACCCTTCACGAGACTCAATCTGAATGTAGTCTTTCTGCTGTGTACGAGGTATAAATCGGACGCAGGTGGGTTTCTCAAAGGACCGCAGAGCATCCTCAATAATGCGTTTTTCATTGGGTCCTATCAGAGAGTAGCACATTAGATAGATCAGAAGGGGATTGTGATGCATTTTACTTTTAAGCCAGGTGAGATGCGTCACTTACCGTAGTGGTTGGAAATCTGATAGGGCACATAGACCTTTTTGTCTTTCTCTCTGGGCCATTTGCACCCTGGCTGACCAGATGTACACTTGTCTGCATTCTGCAACCCATCCTCCACAACAATGTCGCCAAACTTAATTATAAGACCATCCTGTGACTCTTCTGTGCCAAACATGAAGTGTGAATGAAGCACCCTGCATTACTTCATGGTTAAGTAATTGCTAATGTTAGTGTATTAAAGGGAATGTAGTGTTTTATAGTGCAGCATGGTGAAGTATATACACTTGCAGAGTGGTTTACTGAATTTTGTCATTTTGATGACCAGAAGCAGGAAAAAAATGTATTTGCAGTCTTACCGATGTTTTTATTAGCTCTTTCGATTAAGTCTGAGACAGAAAGATACTCCTCCTCAGTGTTGTTATCTGTGAAAGTGTTGTGTAACAAACAAGCATTATTGAGAATTTCTGTTAACACTGACATTTCCAACTCATACAAGTACTTTAAAAAATATCTCACCAGTCTCTTCAGGGCTCTCTTCAAGGGATGTCTAGAGTAGAGTAAACATTACATTTTCTAACACTTTTATGTTTACATTTGTATCTGCAATACTAATATTTGCAATAAATATCACCGTAAGTGCTTTTTTGGCTTAAATGGTTGACTGCAACAAATATACTAAAATTATACATTTTATATTTTTAACAAATGAACAATTTTGCTTTATGTTATGAACTGAAATGCTGAAACTGACTAGTGCATTTTAGAGAGAATTTTCAAGCATCTGAAAAATAACTAGAGTTGACATCAGATGGCAGTTACTGATTAAAAGGACAAAAAGAACAGCAAATGGATATTGGTACAGGAACATGTCTTACTTAAAGAAATCATGTTCACCAGTGGGGTCACACACAACACAAGCATCCATCAGCAGAAATTAGATTAGAAAACATGTAAATAAAACACATCAAAACTTGCTCACCCAACTCCACTTATTATAGAGTAAACATTACATTTTCTAACACTTTTATGTTTACATTTGTATCTGCAATATTAATATTTGCAATAAATATCATCACTGTCCAAAAAAAAAAACAACAAAACATATACGTCCATTTTTGCTGATTTAAATTTTTCTACATCATTTGAGCACAGTGGCCTTTACACTGTGTGAACATATCATGATGAATGGACCAAGAAAAATGCTCCAAAATTGTTGGAATTTCACTTTTGTACATTAACTTACATTAAATGTTAGTTGCCTTTTCCTTTAGCGTTAATTATTTTTTTTTATCAGAAATCTCTGTGCATGTGTGTGTGTGTGTGTGTGTGTGTGTGTGTGTGTGTGTGTGAGTGAATGTTAGTGAGCTTACCTTTATGGAATGACTCTGAGCTGGACTGATGCCCAGCAGCAGCAGGATGAGGGCCAGAGTCAGGTGCATGATGGGAGTCTACAGTGATACTGAAGATGGAAACGGGCCAGGCAGAGCTTCAGTTTATATACACTGACGACGGCCCAAAACTTCCCTCTCAGAGACCTCTGTGCCTGTTACTCAAAGCTGTGGCAAACCTAAATATGAACCAAAACTGGGCAATAGATTAGGCAAGTTTACTTTTGATCAAGAAAGTTTAGTATTTCTGCTGTTCTAACATACCAGTTTCAAGGGCTTGGTGAGTAGCAGAAGTGTTGAATTAGTTGTGTTAAATTGGAGAAAACAGAGAACTCAAGCAAAGCTGTGGCTTCCTACATAATATCTCTGCATGCAAAAATGATGTACTATTACTTATTTAAATATAATTTTGATGATGGCTTCCTTATATCAGCAGCACATACACACAAATATGACCAGCTAAATACAGTCATCGCCAAATCTGGTCAGTACTTAAACGGCTTGCACTCAAAACATGTTTTTCAAATAGTGAACTCCTCTTGAATGTGGTTAAAAGACTGATATTTGTATCAAATGTGTTAATATAGCACAGAGTTCACATTTTTCCATTGTAAATACAGGCTTTCTCAGTGCATATGAAAAAAACTGATTTGTGGCATGCTACTTAGCTTTGTTTTATATGACAGGAATGAGGCCCAATATACTAAAATATGCTAATGAAAGAATGTGCCAGATGCTGACGAGAGACATGAGGCCACTGCCTGAGCCCTAAGTGCTGAAGACAGAGGCTTGAATCTGCACTGTTCTTAGCACTAGAAGCTAGTGTGGGCTTAGCAAGAAGACCTAAACTACTTTACGCGCAACCATGCAGGTTCGTTCTGGCTCATTGAAGTGTTTCTGTATGCCGAGCTGTTAGATTAAGCAACTTTTAATTCATATCCCTGTTAACACCAGTGGCTAACATTAGCTTAGAGCGAAGGCCGCTAGCAATTCCAGCTTACTGATGCTGCACTGAGGCAAGTTATATATATATATATATATACATATATATATATATATTATATATATATATATATATATATATATATATATAAAGACTCAAATCTGAGCAACTGAAATTGTTTGACTTGTGCCGGAGTGACATAACAGAATCTTTCAGATTATTCAAGTTACAGTGGGAGCTTTGTTTCTGCTCTGTTTCACATAGAGACAGTGTGTAGGGTAACAGGGGAAGGGGCTGAGTTTAGAAATAGGATAGCAAGGAAATGTTTACAATTTGCATAATTGTGCATATTCATAGATCTTCAAATATAAAGTAACTGTGCATTAATATTTGCAGAAAAAATGTTTCTTTAAAAATAGTTTGCTACAGATGTTTATTTCATTTCACTTCAAAAATTAACAAAATATATAGTTTGACCAACAGTGGCCAAATGTTTGCATACAACCGCATATGCAACAAATCAGTGGTTTTATTGAATTTTTAGAAACTGAAATGAGTTCCTTCCATAGCTGGTAGCTTTATTAGAAACCTTCCAAAATTATCAGCTTCTGTCAGCTGTCCATCTAATCCTACTGAGTTAGATACTATGACCAAGCTCTTAGAGGATAATTTTCGATCTACTCTAGATAGTGTGGCTCCATTAAAAAGTAAAATAGTAAGGCAGAAAAAACTCGCCCCCTGGTATAATGACCACACTCGGGCTTTAAAACAGACTGCCAGACAACTTGAGCGAAAATGGCGCCTGACTAAGCTAGAAGTGTTCCAGTCCGCCTGGAAGGAGAGCCTTATAGACTATAGAAGAGCACTTGCTACAGCACGCTCAGCCTATCTCTCCTTTCTCATAGAAAACAATAAGAATAATCCTAGATTACTTTTCAGCACAATCTCTAAACTAACTGAGAACAAAACAGTTAGTGAACCCCAGATGCCACCAGCCTCTAGCAGCAATGATTTTATGAACTTCTTTAGTAATAAAATTGAAAAAATTAGGCAGAAAATTCTGAATATACAATTAAACTCTACAAACCTGCTTCCCCTTAATGCCAGCCTCAACCTTGAAAATATTATAATCCCTGCAGAGAGGCTGGAATCATTTACCTTACTCCAAGAAAATGAACTAGTTAAAATAGTCTCTTCCGCAAAAACATCTACTTGTATGTTAGATCCGATTCCTACAGGTTTACTCAAGGAAATTTTGCCAGAAATAACCAAGCCTTTTCTGTCAATAATAAACTCTTCTCTTAGCCTTGGGTACATCCCAAAATCTCTTAAACTAGCAGTAATTAGACCGCTGATTAAGAAAGCGAACCTCGATCCATGCAAACTATCAAATTATAGACCCATCTCGAATCTCCCCTTTATATCTAAGATCTTGGAAAAAGTTGTAGCAAAACAATTAAGCTCCTATTTGCATAGGAATCAAATACAGGAAAAATTTCAATCTGGTTTTAGGCCACATCATAGTACAGAGACAGCACCAGTAAAAATTGTAAATGATTTATTATTATTTTCTGACCAAGATCATGTGTCCTTGTTAGTCCTCCTCGATCTTAGTGCGGCATTTGACACAATAGACCACACTATCTTACTAGACAGACTAGAAAACCTTGTAGGGGTAACAGGAATAGCTCTTTCCTGGTTCAGGTCCTACCTCACTGATCGCTATCAGTTTGTTAATATAAACGGTGAATCATCTGTTCTCACAAAAGTAAAGTATGGTGTTCCATAAGGCTCTGTTTTAGGACCTGTATTATTCACATTATATATGCTACCACTAGGCACCATTATCAGTAAACACGGCATAAACTTCCATTGCTATGCCGATGACACTCATATATTTAGCAAGCGACCCAGATGATAGAATTAAACTTAGCAAGATTGAAGACTGTATAAAAGACATAAAGGACTGGATGTCGAGTAACTTTCTCCTTCTAAACTCGGATAAAACAGAGGTTCTGCTTCTTGGTCCAAAAGCAGCTAGAAACAAACTGTCTAATTTAACATTTAAACTTAACAATTTCTCAGTTGCATCAAGCTCATCTGTAAAAAACCTTGGTGTCATTATAGACCCTGATCTGTCCTTCGACGCACATATAACTAATATTACTAGAACAGACTTCCTGCATCTCTGCAATATTGCTAAATTGAGAAATGCATTATCTCTACAGGATGCAGAAAAGTTAGTTCATGCATTTATTACTTCAAGGCTAGACTACTGTAATGCCCTGCTGGCTGGATGTCCCAGCAAAAGCCTTAACAAGCTTCAGTTGGTCCAGAACGCTGCAGCCAGAGTCCTCACAAGAACCAGAAAGTTCCACCATATCGGCCCAGTTTTATCAACCTTACACTGGTTGCCAGTTAAATTTCGGATTGATTATAAAATTCTCTTACTGACTTACAAAGCTCTAAACGGACTCGCCCCTCTGTACCTGAGTGAACTTCTCTCCCACTATGAACCATCCCACCTACTTAGATCACAAGGTGCTGGCTTACTATTAGTACCCAGAATTAATAAAGTTATGTCAGGGGGGAGAGCTTTCTCATACAAAGCCCCCCGGCTTTGGAATAGTCTTAATGTGTCAATGGAATAGTGTTAATGTTCGGGACTCAGACACAGCCTCAGTGTTTAAGTCTAGACTAAAAACGTACTTGTATAGTCAAGCCTTTGGTAATTAGTTTTCCCTGTCAGTTCTATACCTGCCAGAGTCTCTGCTAACACTAATTTGTGATCGGTCACCCATTACAGAACTGACTCTCTGTGTGTTTTCCTCTCTTGTGTGTTTTCCTTTCTTTTCTTCGCGGAGCTGAACAGCTGCCTATCCTGTGCCTTCTGATGCTGCTGCCTTTTCTGCCTTGATCGGGTGCCACTGCTCGCCAGCCCTCTGGACCGGCTTACCAACATTGAGTCTCCTGCTGTACAACGCCGTACAAACCTCACCCTCACAACCTGACCCCACTGATACTACTGCTGTTGCTACATGAACTAATCAAAATTATTCACCTGAACCAATCATTTAAACTAATTCAAATGAATCAATCACCCATTGTAGAACTGACTCTGTTTTTCCTTTCTTTCCTTTGCCGAGTTGAACAGCTGCCCATCCTGTGCGTCTGATGCTGCTGCCTCTTCTGCCTTGATCTGGTGCCACTGCTCGTCGTGCAAACCTCACCCCCACAACCTGACCCCACTGATGCTGCTGCTGCTGCATGAACTAAACTATTCAAATTAATTGTTTGCTCCACATTTTACCCTGTTTTTGTACTATAATACTTTATACTAACAATGTTTACTATCCAGTGTTGACCAGAGGAGGATGGGTTCCCCTTGTGAGTCTTGGTTCCTCTCAAGGTTTCTTCCTGTTTCTCTAGGGAGTTTTTCCTTGCCACTGTCGCCACTGGCTTGCTCATGAGGGCTTGGACCCGGATTTCTTTTCTTTTTGTAATGCTCATTTCCTTGTAAAGCTACGTTGTGACAACACCTGTTGTAAAAAGCACTATATAAATAAACTTTACTTACTTACTTACTTACTTAGACATGTATTTTGGAGTATGCAAGAAAGATGCTCCTCCTCAGTGTTTTTATCTGTGAAGGTGTTGTGTAACAAATGGGCAATAATGAGGATTTCTGTTAACACTGACATTTCCAATTCATACAAGTACTTAAGAAATATGTTACCAGTCTCTTCAGGGCTCTCTTCAAGGGATGTCTAGAGTAGAGTAAACATTACATTTTCTAACACTTTTATGTTTACATTTGTATCTGCAATACTAATATTTGCAATAAATATCATCGTAAGTGCTTTTTTGGCTTAAATGGTTGACTGCAACAAATATACTAAAATTATACATTTTATATTTTTAACAAATGAACAATTTTGCTTTATGTTATGAACTGAAATGCTGAAACTGACTAGTGCATTTTAGAGAGAATTTTCAAGCATCTGAAAAATAACTAGAGTTGACATCAGATGGCAGTTACTGATTAAAAGGACAAAAAGAACAGCAAATGGATATTGGTACAGGAACATGTCTTACTTAAAGAAATCATGTTCACCAGTGGGGTCACACACAACAC